TGGAGGCTTCTTTTCTGGGCCGGCTTTTGGGGGAATGCGACAACACGACGGACTTCAATGACTAGTGCGTATGTAGAACACGTATATGTCTATACAGGCATGTCGCGGCATGTCCTGGTAGTGTCGATTCGCTGGGAACATCACAAGTTTGCATGGCTTGGTGTAGACCACTGACCGACCACAGCCGCGCACACCTGATTCTTCGCACATCGCAATCTACCACCAGTTTCGTTCATTTTGGTGCTCTTCTTGTGGTAAGCTCTGGCTGATGGACCAATGAATTGACAGATCTGTTGAAACCCAGAGCCGAGCAACTACCTGGTACTGCGTGTTGTTGTAGCTAAGACGGCTATATAGGCCTGGAACCCACCACTCGGGGATCGTGCGCAGTAAGGTCGCAACTGAATTCGAACCACGACAATGGAACGCTCCGACCCACGGCAGAACCACTTCTTGAGGTCTTTGACAGGGCATGTACTGGGCATGTTCTCCAACCTGATATACGAAGCACGCAAGAAGACTCGAGCCAACGACACCAAGATGTAACCTTCTGGACCCAAACTTAAAGCTGCTTAGACGCTCGACCCTAACTGCCCTGACTCTGGCCCAGTCACCCGGACGCACTCCTCTCGTCCGGAACCTTCCTGCATGGAGCAAGGGAAGTTTCCGGTTTGGTACTTGAGGCTTAGGGAGCTGAGGTCATGGAAGTCTGGAAGGAGAGTGTGACGTGGCGGTGTTCCTGTCCTCGTCTCGGCGCTGTTATATAGCAAACACTATACAACCAGCCTATACAGAAAAACACTTATTACTGTTTTCTCTTACTCGGTGTGCTGCGAAATCCATGCCAGCCAAACATAGACTCAAGAGTCCTCCACCCTCTAGGGCCTGTAATATCTACGTGGACAGGAATGTAAGTTGTATCAATGTGCAAAATACGACATACACAATACGTAATATGTAGTAGATACCAGAAGCAATTACAAAAGTACTTAAACAAAGAAAGAAAACATATATGTTTATATATGCACACATACATTATGCATACATGTGTATATATGTATATATATATATATATATATATATACGAAACTATACACACACACACACAGTTTCTAAGCTGATCTAACATTTGCCTTTCGTCCATGAAACTGTAGGCTGAGAGGATCTGTAGTCGCCTAAGATTCTTCGGTCTAGAAGAAGGAGAACCCAGAGACTCCAATATCCCTTGAATGAAGTCGAATGTACCTTAAATCATATTAAGGACCCTACTATATTTTAAGGCATAACCCTGAGTTAAGGAATACACCTTAAATCATACTAAGGATCCTACTGTAGTTTAAGGTATGTACCGTAATTGAGGAATATACCTTAAGCAATATTAAGGATCCTACTATAATTTAAGGAATATACCTTCATCATACCTTCATTAAGGATATGGGAGTCTCTGGGAACTTCATGGAAAGAGGTCCCGGCCGTCTCCCACCAGCGGAGCCAAAAGCCCGTCAGCTCGCTGCCGCCATTGTGTGGATGCATCCTGTCGGTGATGTGTATATATATATATATATATATATATACACACACATGTTAGATACAGTATGTATACCCGTATATATAACTATATATATATATGTATGCATGTATGTATGTATATGATTGTGTGTATGTATATATACATATATATATATATATATACGTGTGTGTGCACATACATGTGTATGTGCGTAAGGTATGTATGTATGTATGTATGTATGTATATGTGTAGTTATGTAGAGCCTTGATCATCAATACAGGGTTTGGGTGAGAGATGCAGGACATTCTCTTGACTTCGTGGGGCGTAGGGTGCGGGTGCCTCTGGCCCATTGTGCGTTGCCTGGGACTGCCGCCTCCTGACCTGTGCTCCAGACGCCTCGCCGTCCTTAGGATGGCATTGACGACATGATGTCGTCTCTGATGAAATCGTGAACAGGTAGAATGCACAACTTAGAGTGTCCGACGTCCTTTCTCCCTAAACCCCCACTGGAACGTTAAGGTCCTATAAGCTCTAAGCCGCGAAAAACTCCAAAGCTCTTATACAAAGCACAAAAATCTAGGAGAGCCTTGGGCAAGACTACATAACGTAAAGTTTTGGTACTCAGGTGAGGCCTTCCGTCTGAGGCTTCGCGGGAAGTTCCAGGATCTACGGTTTTCCGCGCCCGTGGATTTTGTTTTTTTTTGCACGGCTAGGACGACGCATGCGCTGAAGGGCTTGTAGCGTGAAGGACTGACGGTTTGGGGTGATGTGAAACTGATTAAGAACCCCGGGCCTAGAACCCCAAAATAGTAGGATTCATGTAAAGAACCACCAAAAAGGCCCAAGTAATCAGGTTCCTACATTATGGCCGCTGAGACGGATGCAGCTTTCCTGGCGGTCGGGTGTCCAAGTTTAACCCAAACACTTCTCTATCCCATGGTTGAGGCCCGACAGCATCAGCGATCCCTAGCAACCCGAAACCCTGAAATCTCTACCCCAAACCCTATCAGGGGTCCAAAAACCTTATATAAACCCTAAACCCTATCAGGGATCCCTGACCCACCCCCACCGCCCCCCCTCAAATCGGTCCAGCTCAAGCGTAGCTCTGTGGCTGTAGCGCTCGTCACGCGAGGAGGGGCCTGGGGACTGAACACTTTCTCATATACAGGGAACTCCAGAAAGTTGGAATATGGTTTCATGGTAGGATACCCTAAAATTTACCATAGAAGGGTTAGCATAATGATATTCCAACTTTCTGGCTTTTACCTTAGGTGTTTTCGAAAATTAGGGGTGCCTTATTCGGGAGTCCTTACAATAAGGATCCTACTATTCAGGTTACTACATTACAGTCCCCTGTTTTCGGAAACCCCCATACAGGGGGAGTATAAGCTACGCCCAGACCTTGTTCGAATTATGAAGGACCCTATTTTACGACCTAATGCAGGATTAATACTTGCAGAAGTTTAGCAGAAGTTTAGGGTTTAGAGTTTAGGGTCCTCCATGTTCGGCAGGTTACCTTAACTAGCAAAGCTGCTACTACTGAAAGCTGCGGATTACAGTTTGCGGCAGTGGCGCTTTCGCTCTTATGGTTTGAATTACGCTTAGGGCCAAGCACTTCCAGCGGCTTAGGCAGGAGGTTCCGCAGGTTTGCATGCTCAGCGTCTACCTGATCTGTAGAATTTGTTGTTTTTACTCTTGGGTTTGGGGCGAAGCATAAAGCCTAGGGTCGTCAACCAATTTAGTAGATCCCCCCCACGACACAAAACGACCATAAAAGCTTGAGTGCCAGGGATGTTACATGCCTCCTAGCTTGTCATCTACACGCGTCCAATAGAATCAGAACGCTACACCCCGTTCTGATATATGTGCGTGCGTCGCTGCACAGGTATGAATATGGGCCCCCGCCCCTCAAGATCATCATGAGGGGGAGCGGTCACCTGCTACAATATCTTCTTAGGCTCTTCCCGGAGGCCTCTTTATGGGCTGTTGGGTGGTACGCTTGGTTGAATAGCGTCATGCATGTCATGAACTAAATTTACTCACCGGTCCTTGTTTTATTTTTCTATGATTCGGTCTTGTCTATCTCTTTCTGGTTCAGTGCCTTCCGTTGCCTCCAATAATCAAAGCACAGGGGGCCTAGGAAACGCAGGGGAGCATGCCATTTGTGCATTCGCAGACAGTTTACACGTCCAGAGGCCATCATTGTGTGAAGCAGTTTTGGGTCCAGATTCGAGATGCTGGCAACAGAAAAAGAGTCACAGAATTTACTGCAACCCCAACAGTTTTACACACCCAAGAAATGCCGGTGGATCATGGATGGGAAGGACCATACGAAGTGTGTATATACCAAGGTGTCACTTGCACACACACACACACACACACACACACACACACACACACACACACACACATATATATATATATATATATATATATATATATATATATATATAGTATATAAATACATGTACGAACGCACGTGTACATCTGTGTATATGTATGTGTATGTGTGACTATGTACCAAACTGTAAACATGAATAGAAAAATCAGCATGAGTATAACAACTACATATGAATATAAACGTACATATGAACTTTTATAGCACTGCAAATGACAATGACCACGAATACAAATGAACAAGTAAACGTGTGTATATATATATATATATATATAGATGTGTATATATATATATATATATATATATATGAGTTTGCTTCTTTACGCCTTCACGGTTTATCGGCACCAACACAAGAATCGCTGAACTTTAAACTTGAGGGATATCCCAGGATGTCGGACGTCGGGTTCAGAGCATTTTCGGAACAAGTCTTCTCAACATGAGGAAGCATCCGGCCGAAGGAAACTGCACCATATCCTGGTGCAGTCTGGGTGCCTGAGAATTCGTTCCCCAGCGAACCATGGAACATACGTGGATTCCCCTTGTGCTCTTATTCAGTGTCACTAAGGAGCCCCAAAACCGGATGAGGGTGTTACTGGGGACCCACGGAAGCGGAGAAACTAAAACGCATGCTCGCGAGCATGCTGAAGCTCGCCAATGCTGCAGCCCCATGAGGCTTTAATACAGCCCCCGCGGGTTAGTGCTTGGGATTTCGGGTCTACAATGGTGCAAAAATGCAGGGCAGTGTTGGAAACTACGAGAGCTCTGCTACCGATTCACACGCGAGGCCGTGATTCATAACAGCCTCTTGTGGAATCATGGTGGCTCGTGCAATGTATTGCCGGCCGCACCATGACCTGTGCATTCTCTGTCGGAATCCTGCGTCTGTCGGAATCCTGCGTCGCCTCGCCGGGGTCATGGCATAAAGAATGCCGCTGTAAGTAGCCTGTCTCAAACCTGTATCGGAACAAATCTGCTGCGGTGTTATGACTAGCTTCATCGGCAGTATACTTACTTTCGTGCGAGGATCATAGTGGTAGCACGGCTCAGACGCAGTAGATTCCGCAAAAGACAAGCTTAAAATTCAGGCCGTAGTTATGACACCTCTTCACCATCCAAAGGGAGTATGTCGTCATTCTCCTCCCTTGGCGGTACGGGCACCACCAGGCCTGCTTGCTGGTGCCTCAGCCAATCCTTGAGATGCTCCTGCAGGGGAGGAATCTGCCACTGGCAAAAAGTCTCGACAGAGTAGAAATGCCCATAACAGCTGCTCTGATCTTCAACAGTTTATCAACAGAACATAAACCAAGCCGACACACTTCCGATTGGGGGTGGGGTGGGGGTGGGGGGGGGTGGGGGGGGGGGGGGGGGGGGTGGGGGTGGGGGTGGTGGTGGGGGTGGGGGTGGGGGTGGGGGTGGGGGTGGGGGTGGGGGTGGGGGTGGGGGTGGGGGTGGGCCGGTGGGTGGTGGGGGTGGTGGTGGTGGTTGGTGGTGGTGGCGGTGGCGGTGGCTGGCGTGGGCGGCGGCGGCGGCGGCGGCGGCAACGGCGGCAACGGCGGCGGCGGTGGTTTTAGCGAGCAGCATGTAGCAGTAGCAGCAGTAGCCGTCACCGTAGTCGAAGTTGTGGTACGTATAGTTAGCATTTCGTAGGTAGTATTCAAATTTAGTACTTGGTAGTAAATAGATATTCGCTGGTAGCTAGCAGACAGTAACGGCTAGCTGGCTAGTTTGCTGGTTAGTCCGTGGCAGCTACTAGCAAGTATCCACTGGATAGTGGCAGTAGTAGTAGAAGCAGCAGCAGTAGTAGGAGCTAGCCTTTAAGAACCATCGGAGCTTCGTCACCGATCTAATGCTCCCCTGTAGTAACCCCGAGCAGGTATGGGGTTGACTGTTGCGGTTTAGGGTTTAAGAACTCTATGGGCGACAGTAAGTATCTAAAGCCTAAACAATAAAGCTTCCAGGCAACAACCATAATATGACCTCGCAGCTAAAAAACTTGCTTCGCCCTCTCGCACCCGCCTGGGAGACGGGGCGGATCAGCAACTCCAGCCTCGACTTGGAGTTGCAGGGATGTGTTGAATAGACTGGTCGACTGCCGGATTCAGTGGCAGCTAGGGTTTAGGCGGCTTCGGGTTTCAGTTCCGGAAGCATCAATGGTGGAGCTTTGTGAGGCTACAATCGCTACAGTTTATTGTAAAACTCAACATGAACAGCTTGGTGGGGTCCCGTCTGCTTTAGACACTGTAACCTTCAGAAAAATATGTATGTATGTATATATATATATGTATATATATATATATATATATGGATCCTTCTCTCTTGTTCTCTCTCTCGCTCAGTCTTTTACTTGGAGCGCACGCTACTGAAAACACAAGCGCTTAAAGACCTAAACCCTTGACGCCGCGCTGTGCATCCTAGCATCAATTCCTGAGTACTTTGGTATGCAATCGTCAATTTCTTGTAGTATTGCTTTATGGCAGAGAGTAAGAACATATTAAATAGGCAAGTGAAGTATAGTACGGAACCTGCTGCCGCGGAGCTGGTTCTGGTAGCGTTCGGCCTCGGGCCACGCGCTGATCTTGACCAAGAACTTCACCTGGAGGGTTGGGAGTTTTGGATGGCCTTTAGAGTTCTGGATTTGAGGGTTTAGCAATATTTGTTCCCTCCTATTTGGCAAGGACGAAGCCATTGCAGGGTTTAGCACTATGGGATTTTGGGGTTCGGGCCTGAGGGTCTGTAGAGAGACTCTTGCGCTCAAGGTTCAGATTTTCGACAATTAGAGTCAGTGGTTCGGGGGCGGCTTCTAGTCTTTCTGCACGTGCATCATGAACTTCCGCCGTTGACTATGTTGAGGACAAGTCGGAGGCAATCTCCCTCCAAGCACATGAATACTTATTTGGCCCAAGCTTGCGATGCATTTGCATCCCGGTTGAGTACTGTCCCGGCCCTGGTCAATCAGATCCACCAGGCCCCTAGGGATTTTCACAGCACTGATAACACAATGCAGTTGAATACGTGCATACTGTATACCATATAGCAAAAGAATTTACAGTAATGTAAAACCAGGATAACTTAAGTTATTCAAACACAAGATATCAGAATGACAGGAATATTCAATACTACCACACTGCGTAAAACAGTAAAGTTAAGCCATTGGAACTGCATACGATGAAGCTTCCTCTTGATGTAGCATAGCGTAATGTGACGACGACGGCGACTACTACTACTACTACTACTACTACTACTACTACTACTACTACTACTACTACTACTACTACTACTACTACTACTACTACTGCTACTGCTATTAAAAATACTACTACTACTACTACTACTACTACTACTACTACTTCTTCTTCTACTTCTACTGCTACTGCTATTGATACTACTACTACTACTGCTGCTGCTGCTACTACTACTACTACTACTACTACTACTACTACTACTCCTACTACTACTACTACTACTACTACTACTACTACTACTACTACTACTACTACTACTACTACTACTACTACTACTACTACTACTACTACTACTACTATTACTTCTACGGCTGCTATGGATGGTACTGCCACTGCTGCCGCTGCTGCTGCTGCTGCTGCTGCTACTGCGAGTACTACTACAAGCGCTACCACTTCTACGACTACTACTGCTGCTACGACCACTAAAATATGACAATATTAGTAGTAAGAGCAATATAATAATAAGAATAATAGACGTATAACAGCAAACATTGATAACACCAGTCATAACAGCAATAAAAGACAGTAGTTGCACTTATACACTTTTGAATGCATATGTTACATAAGAGTCATTTGAGCATGGCTGAAGATCAAAATAGCATGATTCGATATGTTGGATTGTATGACAACACAACATATGTACATATATATATATATACACACACATGACAGAACGAATAATGTAAACAGGTAATGGGATATAAGAAGAGAACATAGTACAATGCATTGTAGAATAATACCATATACCTCTTTACACATAAACAGGAACATGCATTGCACTAACAGATGTGGCACCATTACGGAGTAACGAATAACATAATTTCATTTCACAACTTTACAAATCAGAGTTACAAAAAAGCATGATGTTATTTTTTGAACCCAGGCTCTATGCCATCATCAGCTGGGAATCGGCAGCCAACATGACTACTATGTTATAAGAGCAATATTCTCTCTCTCTCTATATATATATATGTGTGTGTGTCTGTGTCTACGAACACACAGCTTGGACCTCGATAGTGTGGTCACATTTTCGCTGCAGGGAAGAATTGCTGTTTGGAGTTTCAGTCGTACACGGGCGTTCAATGCCCTTGAGCTGGGGGCTTCACCGCCGTACCGCGCTCAATCTACGCACTATTTCGCTGAAAGATGTCGTGGTCAGGAGTGTCATAGTCAGATCTACAGATCTGCAGGGATTTTCGGTAGAAGTTGGACGCGGTCGCAAAGGCCACCGAACTTCTGAAGCTTAGCGCGGACATGCGATGCTTCAGAGAGGGAGGGTCGTTTCGCCAGCCCGACAGAAATGCCGACTTTGACAAGCTGCACTTTTGAAATCCGATAAGGAAGCCCGAATGTATAGGACTGACCAGGAGCATCCATGTTGCAGTTACCTGCAGAATCCAACCTTACATCCAAAGACCTCGTGTGAACCCTGACCTCCAAACTGAAAACTTCACGCAAAACTGCTCCCAAATGGCCATGATCTCTCGGAAGTCGATGATCTGCTTGGTGGCCGGATCCTCCCCCTGCAACAAAAAGCTGAAAGGTCCATGCCAAGGAGGAAAGATTCGGGTACCATGTGGGGTTCAGAGATTACTTGAGGTTTAGAGCTCACATAAACCATAAATTTGGGAAAGGCCGTAGAAGGAATTGTATGGCTGGGCTCTGTGGCATCGCTCTCAATCACTCAGCACGTCTGAATGCTAAGGTACCAGATGCACTGGCTTCTTCTGGATCCTTGGTTGGTTGGTTGGTTGGTTTGTTTGTTTCTTCGTGGCGGCAGCGTTGAAGGGCTTCGCCACGCAAAACGACACTACTAAGCTCCGGTGAGGAACGCGGTATTCCTCAAGCTCTCGACTGACTTGCCCAGACCAAGTGGGCTGGCCTCAAACCGAATCTTTCACGTCGTCCCAAAACCTTGAACAGTCTCTGCTGGCCTATAAACACTGAGCCCTAAAACCTCAAGTTTCTTCTTGGGGCCGCTGGCTCTGCCCAGCAACTCCTAACCCCCAAACCTTTAAACCACAACCCCCTTGAGGCATACGCTTCGGATCAGCAACATCGTGTCTCTAAGGCTCTGGCCTCCCGAATCCTTAAGTTGGGGCCCTGCATAGAGTCTTAGGCTCAGTGCATCCAGGATGGTTCGGTATGGGCTTACTAAAGGTCCTATTGCAGGTTTGGGGTTGTTCCACCTAAGGGTATAGGGTAGGCATGTGGTACATGGGCTACGGTGCATGATGGGGTACTACTATAAACTTTTGGGCTCAGTTTCCTTTCAAAGGCATCGGACATGAGTTTCGGGCATTGCGTAAACCCAGCAAATTAGGGTTTCAGTCTAGGTCCCAAAGATAGTACGGCGCCCTCAAGAAAGGACCCTAAGAGGGACCCGGAGCGTCGAGTTGCCAGAATCGGTAAACTCGGAACCTCAAAAGCCCCAAATTGAAAGGACACTAGGGCTTAGGGTTTAGGCGAAAGAGAGCTCTGCCTAAACCCTTTTGCAACAGGCTCCCCACTTAACCCTAAACCCCAAACCCCTTGGGTGAAAAGAGGGCCTCCATCCGCTGGCGGTGGATGCCAATGAAGATCGCCCTCGCATGCGGCCAGTCGCCATCCTGCTAGAGAGTTTCGGCGCTAGAGGGTTTAGGGGTTTCGGGGTTTACGGTTTTTTTAAAATAAAGTTTCGACGCTCATACTCGGTCAATGCAAGGAAGGACAAGGTTTAGGGGTTTAGAGGTTCAGGGCTTTAGGGCCATTAATTAATTAAGGTTTAGGGCCCTACACCTTGAAGGTTTAATTGGGTGTAGGGAAATGGCTCTTCGGAGAATTCCCATAATTGCCTGCGGCTCTGTGAGACAATGGTCAGCAAATGTCAGCCCAAGAATCTGCACCCTAGCCCCACAACCTACAGCGCGGCGAGACTGGCCCGAAAGGCCTCAAGACCCTGAAGCCCCGAACCACCAACACCCGCACCTGCATGCGAGGCCATGGTCTAAGGATGTGGATCAAGTGCAAAGAACTGCAAGCTCTCGAATGAATGTTTTTGGTGCCAGGAGTTGGAGCTTCAGGGTTAGAGGCTTCGGTTGTCACGTTGAAAGCATTCGGGGTTCCCTGAGCAGAGTGCTCAGCTAGGCAGACTTCGTCCGCCAGTCAGCGAGAAAGAGAGAGAGAAGCATTCGGAGACGCCAGGGTTGTAAAGCCATACGCCGACCATGAACCACAAGTTGTTGCAACACCTCTCGCTCAGCTTCTGCTCCAGGAGGATGGGATCTTGAACTCTGAGCCCCGAGCCCTGAGCCCGCCGTAACCGTCGGGGCAAATGACTCGAAAGGATCTCGGTCTTCTGGGCTCTTCGGCGTTAGGGTGATGCTAACGTCATGCAACTCGCTCCTTGTCGCTTGTGAAACCCGTTTTCACAGACAGCTATCTGCCTGAGGTCCCTCCTTCCTTCCCTGACAGATGAGACTTGTGTTTTTGCTCAAAGGATCAATGATTGGGGACATGCCCAGAGAGGGCCGCGCAACCTCGCCAAACTCTTCACCGACAGTCTCTCGCGCTTTCGAGGTTCGAGCAAAGACCAGTGCCAAAGACATGCACAGGTACTCTCAACCGACAGATTTTCGGGATGTACTGCATGCAGCTCACGAACATCAGTTCGATAAGAGCGATCCTGATTCCGAGGAGCTTACGTAAGCAAGCTTAAAGCCTTGGCTTGTGGAACGTACTCGAAACCGCCAGAGGCGCCAAGCCCTGAGCTCCTTCCCCTACAGCTTAGCAGCACGAACCCGGACCGAAATCCTCGACAAACGACATATGGGAGTTTCCGAAAATAGGGGATCCGAATATAGTACCATAAATAGCAGGGTCCTGTGACATAAGGACTCCTTAACTAGTTGTAGCCCTAATTTTCGGAAACTCCAAACCATAAACCCTTTATAGAAACTTGTAGTATGCTTATAGTAACCCTTAAAGGAACCCTGAGGTACCCCTGATTTTCGGAAACTCCCACATATTACGACAGGCTCCTTGAAGTCAACCAGGCAGGGCCAGGGTCGAAGAGTGACCTGCTGGTAATCATATGACATGGTACAAAGCAATATAGTATCAAAATACCAGAACAACAATATAATGTAGTATTTTTACAATAGAAGTAAAAAGTATTATGATATAAGAGTTAGAGTAAGATACAATACAGAATAATAACATAGATTGAAACGGAAGATAACTTAGTATGGCAGACGGTAAGAATATGATACCTTTTAACTGTATGTGACATACTGAAAATGACAGAGTCTAGTACAGTAAGCTGAAGTATAGACTGCTAACAACAAGATACTTGAAGGAGACACAGTATAAACACACATAACATAGTACAGAATGAGATGAGATCATGTACTATAGTATAAAAAGTGAATATAATGAAACATAACATAACATGGCCTGATGCAGGTTTACTCAATGTCACAGAATAAAGTACAGCATGGTATAATCTAGTAGAACGTAATACAACAAGGTCACATAAGTTACAATACACATACACAAATAGTATTAGATAATACAATGCAAGAAAAATCAGTACAATCTATAGTATGTTCTCATATGACACAATATACGATGGCAAAGTATAGTGTAGCGACGTAATGTCATATGGCATATTGCAACATAATGTGAAAATATGTGAAATACCGTATGCTAACACATAGTGCAATCAACGTAGGATACTGCAAATGCTAAGCAGACCAAAACAGTATGTTACACACTTCCAGGGTTCAGTCGGTTGAAACGGATTGAATGGAATCTCATGGAATTTGACAAGGTTTTGAGGCATCGGGTTCAAACATGCTTGCAGTTGTACACTGGGGCTAAATAGGTTTCAGAGTGTCTTCTTGTTCGCTATGTCAAGATGCTTTGGCAGGTTTGGTAGCAAACTTTCTCGGAGCACCAGAGAGCTTTATCATCTAAGCCGAACATGCGCAAGAAGAAGCTGTGAGCATCCTGAACATACTCAAAGCACAGCCAAGTTCAGGGATGAGGTCTCTGCATCTAGTTCCTCGAAAGCCTGCCGAAAGCTCGCAACACTTGGAGGACACCGCGGTTCTGAAGTGTAGGGGTTTTCCGATGTTTTTTTTGGTTGAGGTGCTTCAAACTCAGCTACGGTCTAGGACGTCTAGGAATGGGCACGGCAGTTTGGCAGACTTCCATGTTGGCTTTGGAGCGCCTTGTTGTCGTTCATGGACTCGCAATGCCTTAGTTCGGCAACTGCTTGGCTTAGACCCAAGCTGCTACAACACTGAACTCTGAGAGGGAAAGAAATCCAGCGTACACGTGCGAATACACTCTGGCAATCGTGCGGTTTCGGATGCTGGGGCAATTCCCGAAACTGTGCGAGAAAGAGGGAGAGACAAAGGGCATGGATAGAGGCTAGACAATTTAGTATAGATCTCCAGCCCTCTGCTCCGGGAAGACCCCAGGTTCTCCCCAATAGCCCCTCTTGCACTGCAGTTGTGGCCCGGTTGAACACCTTTACGCCTTTTCGGGCGCGTTGCCCCGAAAATGTGATATGACTGCTTTTTATAATAACAAGAAACAAGTAGTAGTCGTAGTTGCAGTGGTGGTAGTAGTAGTAGAAGTCGTCGTCGTAGTAGTCGTACTTGAAGTAGCTATAGTCGTAGTAGTAGTAGTAGTAGTAGTAGTAGTAGTAGTAGCCGCAGCAGCAGGGGCAGCAGCAGCAGCAGCGGGAGAAGTAGCCGTCGTGCACTAGCAACAAAAGCGGTCGTTGCCGTCATCCCGGTCCTGGTCCTCGAACTGCTACTGCTACTAGTACTGTAGGGGCCTTAATGATTAGAATAGGGTATTGGTGTATATTGTACTGATTATAATGAGGATTCCCCAAAATAGTATTGGTAATTATTTCAGGCCCTGCATTACAAGAAAAACTCGTACTGCTTGTAATCCTGCAAGGCAGTGGTGATGATAGTGCTAAAGAATCTGGCAGCAGTAGTAGTACTGTAGCATAAGCCAATCTGCAGATAGCAAGAAGCTACAAACGACTCAATATCAGCAAGGAGGCTGAAGCAGTTCCTGGATCTGCGTCTGGCCCCAGCTGAGCCACTCATCCATGATCTCCTCTCAAAGAGGGGTTTGAGGCTTGAAGCATTGAGGCCTTGAGGCTTCAGGATGCTGGATTCAGACTTTCTGATTACTTTCCCTCGAGAAATCCTTCTATGGCTCAGGGTAACAGGCTTCGGCACCAAAGCAGCCGCCGGGAGGACAAGCTTACGCTTTGCAGCTTCCTAGTCGTTTTATAGTTATAGGGGTCGCTAGGAACACTGTCTCGGATGCATTCTCAGACTCTAACATGCAAGGAAGCACAACGAAGATGTGGTCTGGATGGGTCCAAAATATGTATGTGCCTTTCCCTATGGGAAAACAGCCTTTCGAAGTTTCCATGAGCGAGCGTAGGGCTTCCAGTACCTGACAGGATCCAAGCAAAATAGACGAAGTACCTCTAGTTGTAATTCCTTTTTTTGGTTTAACCAATAATGTATTAAGGATCCTATAAAGTAACCGCAAAAAGGAACTACAATGGAGACTATAGGTAGAGCCTTCAAAAGTGGTATGCCACCTCGTCCCTGGCATCTTGCAAGCCAGTGAGCTGGGATTGCTTCTGTTGGTCGGATGAGGATTCAAGGATGTACCTGTATGCAAACTGCCAAAGCAGCATGTCAAGTCAAGACGTTCATGATTACTGTAGATTTCGCGATCCGGCATTCCTCTCCTCCTCCTTGGTCAGGAAATCAAACTGGATGTAGTGACGATAGCCTCTGCGGTGTCCCAGGTGCCCGCAACCCAATACCTCAAACCTGGATCTTCACTCCTACCCTTATTAGAAATCATACCAGCAAAGACAAGAGCCATATTGATGCTGACAATAATGAAAGTGCACTGATACGAATGAATAAGAACAATCATGCTTCCTGATACTCGCAAAAAGAACCCTTCCGTGTCGGAGGCTGTAACATTCGGACCTGGAGTAAGCATTGCGGTAGGATCTGTGCTACCAAACGACACTCTGCCAAAGCCCAGAGACGACGAAGCCCTCAACACCCTGTTTTGCAACTGGACTTGGGGACTAGCGGGATCCTTGCATTCACACCCTTTTGCAGCAGGCCTCGTTGTCCAGCAGCCCGGTTACAGCAAGAGCCCCTCCGTTCCCCCGCCCTAAACCCCAAACCCTATGGGTCAACCACGGGGTATAAATCTGAGGGGTTGAAGGAAGGCATCCCAGGGGCGTTGGAAGAAGTTGTGTTGCGCAAAGAGCTCCGTGAGGTCCGCCTCACCAGAGTCCATCTCCTGTGGCTCCAGGCATTTTGTAGCGCACTGTAGGGTATTCTCAGCAGCAGTGGTGGTAGTAGTAGTAGTAGTAGTACGAAGCAGTAGTAGATGCTGTAGTGGTGGTGGTGGTGGTGGTGGTGGTGGTGGTGGTGGTGGTGGTGGTGGTGGCGGCGGCGGTGGCGGTGGTGGTGAAGAGGATGTAGTAAGCAGTACGTATACTAGGTCGTATGTAGAGAAACCACTGGCAATACGTAGTAAGCAGTACGTAGTATGTCGTGGAAAGTCGCACGTAGTACACAGTGCGTAACAACTTGTGGCGCGACTCTGAGACGAGTGCCGCCGAAAGCGCCAACAACGACGATGCATACTAGCACTCATGTTGCATACAAGATAGCGATAGCTAAACAACATCCGGAAGGGGCTTGAACTACTCTCAATGCAAGCCGTGCTGCTCCGAGCAACTTGACCGAACGCTTGAGCTCCTTGCTTGAACGCTGCGCATGAGGGTTTCGAAATTTAGGGCCAATGGAGTATGGCACTGGGCCATGCAACCGGTTCGATTTTCAAACTCTGTTTGTCGCTCCTAGGTTACTGCACACTCGGCGAGCCGTGCTGGATGTCGTCCTACAGTAGCCTTGCCCTCCACTGTCTTCGGTGCACCACTTTACCATCGGATCTGATAAAAGTTACGTCCCCTGTAAACTTTTGCACTGCTGAGAAAATCAGGTTCTGCCAAAGCCTGGAACCTTCAACCCAACAACACTTTGGTGGCCGGGCCTTCTGAATCGCGCGCAATGCGAACCTCCGCTCACAGTCATGTGGCACAGTGGCTTTTAGCAAGGCTGTTTGACAAGGGATTTGGAACTCCGGCTTCCAGACATCTGGGGTCGTGTGATGCTGCGTGCAGGTGCCTGAATATGGCATCCCTGCAGGTTGCCCAGATGTGGCGAGTTTCTTGAGGGACCAGTCTGTCACGAAGCTGGAACAAAATGGAGCTCACACCGCCATTTCCTCGAAATATACACAGACACACCGCTTTGGGTCCAACATCTGCAGAGACAAGCAAGTGTTGTGTGTCAACATCGGCGAACAGCTGGCGATTGACACCAATTACTTTACCCTATAGTATGTTGATATGGCTGTAGTGAGGGAAATGTCAGACATGGAATGTACTCATATGTGTATGTGCTTTCATACACCTCCAACTTAACCAGTAGGATGTAGCACGCATATCACTATTCGACACTCCGCATTTTGAAGCCTTTGCTGCCTTACATCACCAACCACCAGTGTAAAGGACCCTACCCTCGTTGCACAGACTTGTACATGCCCGCCTGGATGTCAGATGTCAGAGCCGAAGCACTCGTGGCAGTAAGCCTATAGCCTTCTGAAGTAACTGAATCACGGACCCTGCCCTGAACCTGCAACTATCCATCAATCAACTCCACTCTGACAACTGGCACAACTAGGCCCAAGTCCATAGGGACCCTTAATGGGGACCCCTACCCTATCATGGGCTATATAATGGGTATATAATAGCTAGATTAAGGGTATATAATAACCATATTAAGGGTATATATAGTAGCTATATTAAGGGTATATAATAATCATATTAAGGGTGTATAATAGCTATATTAAGGGTATATGTACCATAATTGGAAAGGCGGCTCGCACATGTTGGGCGTCGCTGAGAGTCCTTCACCGATCCTTGGAGCGACTCACTGGGCTGAGCGCAGGTTTGGGGGGGCCTCCCCCCTCAGACCCCTAGGTATATACCCTTAATGTAGCTATTATACACCCTTAATATGGTTATTATATACCCTTAATATGGTTATGATACACCCTTAATATAGCTATTATATACCCTTAATATAGCTATTATATACACGTTATATGGCTACTTGGAGGGTTGAACTTACGGCTTATAAGTGTTCCATTCTTCGGGGTTGAATTGGGCGGCGGAGGCTAGGGCCCTAGCGCTTCAATGGGGCCATTGAGGGTCTTGGGAGTCGAAACTAGGGTTTAAGGAGACCTTGATCAGCCAGGGGCAAGACTGGCTCTTGTGGAATCTCCAGATTCGCAAACCTAGCTGTTCGATTCGATTGAAGATGTCGTGCTCAAGCGCTCATGCCCAACACCGATCCGGCATCCAACACAAGGTTTTCCATCATCCAAGGGTTCTGGTTAGACGGGGATGTAGGGAGAGTCGAGAATATCAGGAATGGGTTTTGGCTTTGAAGGGCCAACCTTGCAAGGCGAGGAATACGGTTCCAAGTCGGTGGAGCTCGTAGCCTGCGGTGTAGAGCTCAGTTTCTAGGGTTTATACTGAGATACGACAGACTGATCGGAGGCCAAAAGGGGGGTTTAAGATCCTTGGGGTAGGGATTCCTTAAGATGAACCCGATTATTATGGGAACCCTAATCCCTAGTAAACCCCCATAGGCTAAAACCACTTTTGGCCTCCTATGACAGACAGGGAAATCAAAGGCACGGCAGTTTGACCACAAGCTGCCCATCGCCACGCCCCTTGGACGGTTTTGCTGGTCAAGACTACACTACTACCCTAAGGTTCCAAAGTAGTTCCTTTTTGGGGTTCATATTTAGAATTCTGTAAGGTATTCCCAAAAAGGAACTACGGTACTATGGACTATGGAGCCTCTGGGTACAGCCCTGGCCTTGGGTTTCCTCCTCTGCGAAGCTCAAGTCTCTACGTCACAGGCTTTCTGCAATCCTATATGGGAGTTTCCGAAAATAGGCTTACCCTATTTTGGGGTCCTTATAATAAGGATCCTACTATTTAGGCTACAATATTAGGGTCCCCTATTTTCGGAAACTCCGATATAGGGGCCTTAATAGCTAGAATATGGTTTTGGGCCGATTATACTATGGAATAAGGAGCCCCCAAAATTAGTTTTGGTAAATACTCAGGCCTCTAGAGTTCCGGCCTCTAGAGTATTCATGCTTGAGATCACACTCCCGTTGGCGTCCGCTCATGTGCAACCGGGGTGACAGGAGCTGTCCAAAGCGCAAAGCACAAAAACATACCCTAGACTCCTAGACAAAAAGCAGTTCCAGGAGGTTACTGTCATGATATTTTCTGAACTATATAAACATAGAATTATATCAACGTAGAATAACAAAGTTCAGGTACCTGAGCCTCTGGAGTGAACTCAAACCGGTCTAACCGATTTGCAAACCCCAAAGCCCTGCAGCTCTTCTTTGCCACTGGCCTCAAGTCGAGTCTAGCCAGACCTCGCCCTACTAACCCTAAACGTCGTACCCTCAAACCCTGCACCCGAAATACTAAACTGTCCAACCAAAGTACTCGACAAATCGACAAACCTCGACCTACCACCCCATATTATCCCTAAACCCTAAACCCTATCATATCCTAAGACCCTCCACTTCCCAGGCCCGAGGTCCAAAATCCCGTTCAAATCCTACGCAGCTCTGCAACTACAGACATCAATAAACTTACCTATTGGTTCGTAGGGAATGGAAGAATGGTAGTAATAGTAGTTGTAATTGTACCCCATTCCTCCATTCCCTACTAACCAAAGGTAAGTAAAAGCCCATATCTGCCTACCGGTCTAGCTGAGTCTAGCTATCTAACTATCTCTCTCTTCGTATCAACCTATGAACCTAACTATCTGTCGGGCTATCTATGTATCAATATAGCCGTCTATCTGCCTAACTACCTTTCTACCCATCTATCAAAACTAACATATTCGCATAAACATTTCTTTGTACATATATATATATGTAGATACACATGCAGACCCATGCTAATTAAGCATGTAGAAAAGAAACGCATGTATATGTGCATACACACATAAAGGTCTGTAGTGTATGAAACATATGTACATGTACATTTGCGTATATATGAAGCCAGAGTTAGAGTGTATATATGTGCGCTATCTTCCCACAATTCCACAGTCGACTCGCCTGGAATTTGCCAGGCTCCAGCGATTCCGTCGACAGGGCGATGGGCGCAGACCAGTCCCAGTAGCACAAATCCTTCGAACGAAAGGTGCGGACTAGGGTGAGGATTTGCGGCATCTTAGCAAGATTTCGGCATGTTACTGGGTGTTAGTCAAGCAACTGTCAAGCAAGTAGTGTAGGGTTTCGGAACATGTTTCGCGCATGGAAATCTGGGTTTCTCGCAGGTCATGTGAGCCGTTATTGTGGCCACATCGGGGACATGTAAGTTGGGTTTTAAGGCTGTTTCAGGTTGAGGGCTGACGGTTTGAGCATAATTCAGCGACATCAACATTCGTGCTAGGCTGAAAATCAATATTAACATTAACCTGATCATATATAAACATTCACATTGATCGCTTCCCCACATATTAAACACACCGCTGACGACGAACATACGTTATGGGAGCTGCCCTGAAATCATCACCGCCTTTCAAAGATGCCGTAAGAGCAAAAGCAGGAGCGAGATCAAGAGTAGGAGCAAAAGCAAAAGCAATGCAGGAGCAACAGCAAGGGCAAGATGCGCGACAAGAGCAACAGCAAGGGCAAGACTGGCAGCAAGAGCAACACCACCACCAAACACAACAACACCACAACCACCACCAGCAAAGCGGCAACAGCAACAGCACCAGCACCAACAAGAACACCACCACCACCACAACCACCACTAACAAAAGCAGCAACAGCAACCGCCACAGCACCAGCAAAAGCAACGCAAACACCGACAACACCACCACCACCACCACCACCACCACCACCACCACCACCACCACCACCACCAGCACCAGCACCAGCACCAGCACCAGCACCAGCACCAGCACCAGCACCAGCACCAGCACCAGCACCAGCACCAGCACCAGCACCAGCACCAGCACCAGCACCAGCACCACCAGCAATACCACCGCCACGACCAACAACAACAACAGCAGGAGTAGAAGCAGCAACAACAGCAACAACATCCACATCCAACACCCACAACAACACCACCAACACCAAGAGCAAAACCAGAGCAAAACCAACACCAACACCACCAACACCATTAACAGCATCAACACCATGACCACCACCACCAACACCCCCCACCCCCCCTTTTGAAACCTGCCGCAGCCTGAGAAATCTGAAGAAAGTCCGAAGATCCCGACTGACCACCGTCAAAGCCTCAAGAGCCCGTCTAAAACTGAAGAGTCTGGAAAAGCAGAATTTCCGAAAGGCCCAGATGATGCCAGAAAACCCGAAGACCCTGAAACCCGAAACCCTCGCAAATACCGAGTCGAAAAGCCCTGAAGTGAAGGAAAACACAGGGGCACAGACGCACCACGCTCCAACTAAATATAAGGCGTTTGTTGCTGTTGCTGCTGCTGGTGTTGCTGGTTTTAGTTTTAGTTTTGCTGTCTTTTGCTGTTGTTGTTGTTGTTGTTAGTGGGGTGGTGGTGGTGCTGCTGGTCTTGGTCTTGGTGGTCTTGGAGGTGGTGGTGGTGGTCGTGTTGGTCTTGGTCTTGTGTTTGGTCTTGGTCTTGTGGGGGGGATGATAACGATCATTCTACTGCTTCACCCTGGGGTGTAGGGGGCTTCAGGACATCGGGATGCAAGGTGTATGGACTCAGAGAACAATCCCTAAAGTGCAAACCTGATTGGAACGTGAAAGGTTCCACCAGCCTGGAAGAAGCTTGACAGGAGTTCGGCGGTTGTTGCACCGGGATGCATCCTGAGGTCATGCCTACCAAGGGGTAGATTCGCATAGATACTACAAGATAATAAGGCTTGGGTGGGAACCTCCCCGCCCTTATCAGACAGGCACTGACCAAGCATCTGCAAACACTGCAGAAAGTGGCGGTGTGGAGAACTAGTAACTAGACTAGACCACGACGGGGCCCAGAAAAAACAAGCAATGCGGGGTTTAAGGATTGCGGGGCACGACTCGTGGCTGTGCAGATTTGGTGACACCGTGAGTCATACTGCCAAAGTCAACGCATCTCACCAGGTTCGTCTCGCCGACTGAGTAACAAAACTGTCCATACAGAAGCATTACAATGGCAACGACAACGAACTCACTCGCGGAAGAGACACGACACCATTCATCTCCTCATATCCCCTCATTTGCACTTTCATATTTGTTTTCGACCTTTTCGCATGCAGGGCTGCGGATGCAAGTTTGTGTCGCAAGAAAGACAAGTTTTGCTCCAGATGCTGCAGCCATGGCACTGGCAAACGCATCCGCAGCAGATGGCCCACGCGGTTCCGCTGAAGAAGCCAAACAGGCTTCCTTAGAGCAGGGATCGAGACTCATTCACGAAGGAACCGGAGTTGCGAGTCCGACATGAACCCGCCCGGAAAGTTGCAGGTCGCACAGTTGCAGGAGTATTCAGTGGTGGTCGTAGTTCCTGTTCAGAAATCATGGTGGTCGCAACAGCAGCATTGGCAGCCACAACTTCCCTACTAGGCAAGTCACCAGCCTTCACGTCATCAAAACGGTACGTGCAACCACTCGCCCCCGTAGTATTCGCTTGGGAAGCTATGATCGGCGATGAGCTTGAAGTGAATTTGGCATCTTGTGACTTCTTTAACCGCACAGGTCGGTCATAAAGATTCGAAATTTTGTAAGAGCAGAACCGGGTCTAAGTAAGATGACTGTTTGAGGTTGTTGGGCAGAGTCTCTTGACATCATGAAAAAAAACGGTTGTGCAAATGCGGCTCCTTTGGTTGTGGCAAAGTGCTATCTTCCGCTTAAGTTTCTTGCCAAGTGTCCGAACACGCCCCGCTGCTGGGCCCAATAACGGACTAGTGCAAGCAACTCGCAAAAGCGAGCTCGATCAGGGACCTGCTCCAGAATCCGATTGCTGACCTGGCCATACAACTCGTGGGTTTGCTCCTGAAACTGGTGGTAGTGGTGGCGGTAGTGGTAGTGGTAGTGGTAGTGGTAGTGGTATAGTGGTAGTGGTAGTAGTATCAGCAGCAGCAGCAGTAGGCACCGGGCTGCTGTCGTCTTAGATAGAGCTGTCCTGAAAAAAGGGCTTTCCGTCACAGAGGAGCAGATGAGGCTGTCAGGTAAGAGAGGGAAGCACAAAGGGTTTTGCGCATAAATACCGCTTTACTTAATAACTTATTAATTCAATAGCTGGTTGGCTTTGCTCGGTGTCACTTGCACAGGCGCTTACGAATACTAGCACTGCAAAAGCAGCAGTAGCAGTAGCTGTAGCGGTAGCGGTAATTAGCGGTAGCGGCAGTAGTAGTAGTAGTAGTAGTAGTATAGTAGCAGTAGTAGTAGTAGTAGTAGTAGAAGCAGTGGCAGCGGTGGTAGTAGTAGTAGTAGTAGTAGTAGTAGCGCTAGTAATAGTAATAGTACTTCAAACAGTCGCGGTGGTGATGGTGGTGGCGGTGGTATGACGTCAACGCAAAGCTCTGAAATTGTTGTAGGGATGGACACTTGAATGTTGCTCCGATTCTTTAGGATTCGGATACCCTTTCGCCTTTCCGGTGTTGCACTTGGGGTGGAGAGAACGGGCTCCAAATTCAATCAGTGACTACACGCTTCCCCAACTTGTATGTACTCCTGCTGATTGTATTACGACTGGTTTCCTTTATGGGGTTGCTCCATGATCAATCGAAACGAAAGATTACTACCAACCGCTGCAGTAGTCGACTACTGTAGAGTCGATCATATATGCGAAAGAAGCAAAGTGTAGCATAAACCGCGAACATTCTTCAGGACACCGTTGCAGACTCGCGCAATGATACAATGATTCGCTGAACAGTTCAGGGTTTCGGCACGCACTCTCGGTCCAGCATGCTAAGGTCAAGGGCTGGATAATATATGCAGGTCTATGTACATATATGTATATACATATACATACACTCGAAAAATGACGGGTGCTGTAAGTGATATAAATCAAACTTATAGTCCGTACCTTACATCAGATATTAGGTATTATCCTTTGCACTATGTAATCATGCATGAGGTATCAAGAATGGATATATATATATATATATGTAATCATACATGCATGCAGGCAAAACATACAATTTCAAATATAAATAACTATGTACATACTATGTACACAATTGTACACATAAATTCCGAGATGGGGCTCTGGGACTTTTGAGAGGAGCGGCAGACTCTCCCCAGCGTGCTGCATGCGTCGGCACGGGAACAGGCGCCGGGGCCAGGTGGGACGAGGCTGCGAAGAGCAACTTCACTGAAGTTCCTGAGGGCGCGGCGAAGGGGGACGAGGGGGGGGGGGGGGAGGGAGCGGGGACACTGGGGCGATGCGCCAAAAAGGCAATCGCTTTAATCGCTACTATTGTTATTGTTCCTTCTCAATCGTATGTATCCTTATCCGGATGCCCACAATGCACCTAGATCAGGCTTTAGTATGGCGTCCTTGTCACCCGGTTCCTGTATGTAAAAATGGAAGCTTTACTTGCCATTCAGCAACCGCCTATCGAACACCCATATCTGAGTCTTCCTCGCAAGGCCATTCTCAGCCCTGCCATGATAAAGTTTCTCGCGAGCAAGATCTGAGGCCTACTTGTCGGGTATCATGGGGAAATAAAGGTTAACCTTTTTGGTTATATAGGGATTATATAGGGACTATACTACCCAAAAAGGTTAAAGGTTACCTACTTGACTACTAGGGAGGCCCTGCATGGAAAACAGCATGAAGCCAGGAATTGCGAGGAATGCAGCACTGCAGCTTGACCGTCCGAAGGATGAAACCCTGAACCGCTTAACCCTTTAAGCCGTAAGCCCTTCAAACTTAAACCTGATAGAGCCCTAAAGCCACCAGAATCCCACACAATAAAGCTCTACACACCGAAAGCCCTAAGCCAGCAGCCTCATGCCCATGGATCACAATGCTGCGTCAGACCTTCTCCCCCTCCACGGTTAGTAGCTCCACACTGATACAGATCGCAAGGCTGCTGGGAAGCAAAAGTGTCGAAACTGGAGCATGAAGCCTGGCAAGCCCATGTGCTCTGATTTGCTGGGGGAAGCCATAAATAGAGCCGAGACTCCCCTCTGCTTGAACTTGACCCCGGGGCCGTTGAGAAGGCCGTCGGAAGAAGCCGTCCTTCCATGAGAAGTGGGTTTGAGCGTAGGAACTTTTGCAGGTACTACTGGAACCGCCCTGCCCTCGCCCTTCAAGCAGCAAGGGGGAGGCTGCAGAGCTTCAGGCTTTGTCTGAGACCTTTGGAGCTTCTCGGGCGCAGCCTTTTAAGCTTGATGCTGCGACTCTTGGGTCCTCACTGGGATTTCGGAGAAACCGGAAATGCTCAGCCTCACGCACTCGCGCCTTGCAGCACCAGACCAAGCCCCGAAGAAAGCCTCAAAGTTTCTGAACCCCCAGAAGCCTATGACTTGGTGTAGAGGCATCTGGGCGCTTCGAGGCAAGGTGGTTCGAACTTAACATCGTACGTAATTTCATCAAGCACGAGAAAACCCAAACGCTACAGTCCGGCTGGGTGTCCTGATACTGGATGAACTCGCTTTGCCTTGGAAGCAGCAGGAGGCTCCAAGATGCTCCAAGCTTCGTCGCACCCATCTATTTTTTCTGGGCTTAGGAGTCGAGGTTTGGCTTCAAGGTGTGGGCCTCGTGTATTAGGATTTTTCAGTTTATGCATGTGGTCTGCTGCGAGACCACTCGAACAGTCAGCCCTGATACCGCTGCGCACACCACCTTCTGACTTCCCTGATTATTTTCTAGTTCCAAAGGACTTAGCCATTTCCTCAGCAACTTGCGTCGACATATTTGCAGCGATTGGATTGCAGCCACTGGCGCATGGCAGGTTCCCCACCGGAACGGGGATATTACGAAGAGTTATGGGTTTAGGTTATTTTTTTCAGAGTGCCCGGGACGGCCAAAAACCGTACTGATTATTAGCCCAGTTTGGCAAAAGCACTCTCTGCTCTACAGTTTAAGTTGAATCAGCATAGAAGATCAAAAACTAAAATGCAGGTAGCAAACTAAGGATGAACTCCGCAGGTCCAAAGCCCCGATGACCTCCCTCAGCTTTCAGCACTCGTGACGACGAGCGGGTGGGGGCGGGAGCGAGGCAAGAGAATGAGACAGAAAGAGGGAGGGAGGGAGGGAGAGAGAGAGAGAGAGAGGAATGGGGTATACAGCAAGCTCCGCTTCGACTCAGATGGAACCGTGGTGCACCCTCTTAATAACACCTGCAATTAGGTCTTCCAGCGGTCTCCTCCTGCAGAAGTCACGACCCAAGAGATCTCTAGGCGACCCCTACCCTGCAGCACCCGGTCGTGCTTTGAAGTCTGGGAACGCATTCCTGTTTCAAATCAGGAACTGAAAGTGTCGGTAAATGGCCTCTAGCCATAGCCGCTTCTAGCCCCGTAGAACCCATGCAGGTACCCTGTAAAGAACTCATCTTCGTACGAATTAGTACCTCTGTAACCCTGAGCAACCCCCAAAAACCGTTCTGCCAAGCCAGGTCACGAAGTCCCTCCACCAAACCTGGCAGAGCAGCATCCTCGGCGTCTGGTTTTGTCCGTAAATTTTCAGGAGTCGGGAGTACGGTGTCTGTGTGTGTATATACATATATTTTAATACATAAATATATGCATGTATACACAGAAGAATGAACTTTAAGGTTTCGGCGCTCTGACATTCAGGGCTTCGTAAGTACGCGCATGCGTACTGCCCTCAAAATGCTGTTTTCTTTCCTGTGGATGCCTGCAGGTCCATGCAGCAACCAACGTCAATGCTTGCATTTTCTGCGGAATTGCCAACTGAGTTCTACGAAGAGGATCCCGCACGAAACTATACTCGAGCTGTTTCATCTCCATTTTTACAAGTCCTGAAGGCTGGAGGTCGTATCAATCCAGCACTGAATGCAACACAAACATCTGCTTCGTTGATCAAATAGGGCAAGTTCCATGTCCTATTCCATTTCCTCACAGCGACAGCCTGTCAACGGCTTGCATGTAACGCAAATCATGCTAGACACTCAACACCTTGACCTGCACTTCCTCAAGTCTCTTTTTGCCCAAGGCTCCGGAGCTACCAAGAGCAAGTCCAACTCTGTGCCAGGCTGAGCGACTCCTGCGCAGCCGGTGTTGTGAACAGAGGGGGGGCGTTCAGGGTGCACCGTCGTGGCTGGTAGTTGTGGTGTGGCAAACCAAGCAAGTCCGGCAGACGTGAGGTGGCTAGAGTCTACCATCTAGCCTGGCCCTGACTCCTTTTGCAACTGGCCTGCTGCGACGCTGCGGACCCACACTCGCACCCCCGAAACCGAAAATCATACTCGGCACAACCGTACTACCGAAGAACTCCAACAGTTTGCAAGACCCTTTAAGCCTAAACTCCAAAATCCTTAACACTAAACCCTGAAACCTCCCCTATAGACCCGCTAAGTGCCTTTGCCATCCAAGGGGCCCAGCTTCCAAGCCCCAATACGCCGAAGGTCCGGAGGTGGTTGGAAGTCGGAGCTCAGCCTCTGAGTTCTCTTTCCGTCTAGAGTTTTTTTTGCCCTCCTATACCTAGCAAGGACGAGCCCTTATTGCAGCGTTGTGTTTAAAACATATTGGTTCTAGCGGCCCTTCCACCCGCCACTAAAACAAACCCGCCAAACCAAAAGCTCTGTGAGGGTTTAGGGGTTGTGATGGTCTGTGTTCGGGCTGGAGGTGCTTTTTAAGGCCTTGATGCTTCCCGGGTCCATCAGTCCGGGGCTTCAAAGTGCTGTTCTCCGGATTTGGGGTGGTAGGGACTTACCGGTGCCTGGGCTATGTGTTTAGAGCGGGTTTGGGGCAGCACCTGACGGAAATTCCTTGGATTGTTTAAACGCTCCGTACAGTTTGACCCTCAAATGGGATGCGAGACGTGCAGGTTGCAGAAAATGAGCTGCCCTGGCCTCCACTTTCAGGCCTGAAACAAAACATCTCGCGATTAGGAAGGCATGGCGCGGGGTCTTCGACACAGTGAGCAGCTATCAACAACATGACGGTCCTGTGGAGGTTTGATGGTACAACCGGCCAATGGCGCGTGTTTGAGGTTGTTGTATGTCAGGATTCCCTGCGACGGGCTTGGTTTGCATAGCAGTTCTATCGAGTACAGGACCAAACCATTTGTGCCCCCGAGCTCTAATTAGTCACAAGTCTAGAACAGACACACACACACACACACACGAATGCACGCACATACATACAGTACAATTCATTACATACCATTCCATACCATACAGACATACACACACACACAACCCAAACACAGCAAATGGCGTCCCGATAGGTAGTTTAAAGGAAGACCATCCGCACTCCTGCTCAAAGTCCTTCTCCTTTACATAGTTGGAGCGAGGGTCGGCGTTTAGCGTTTACAATAGGTTGTGGGTCTGGCTCAGGTGCAGGATTGCAAGACGCCCCAAATCGAACGTCCAAAAGATCCGAAGCTTGAAGTGTCAAAGGGGAAGATGAGGGACCCTTAATGGGGACCCCTACCCTATAATGGGCTATATAATAGCTATATTAAGGGTATATACCTAGGGGTCCTTATTAAGATTTATTAAGGGTCCCTCCTTTTACCCTCGGAAAGTGTCAACTTCGCCCAGTTGCTGTGTTAACACGGAGGCACAGAGATCGCCGACCTGACGGCTGCTCCGGTTCATGATATAAATCCTGCATTACCCATAATAATAAGGAATATGCCATAATTCCGATAGTTTAAGGGCCTTAAGGTATTGCAGGATTTATATCATCAACAGTCGCAACTGTGGGAGCCATGCTCTTGTCATGTAGGGGTGGTTCACTGGCTCTTTCTCTCTCCTCCTGTCTATGCTGTCTATGCTACGCTGACCTTGTCTTGTCGAACCCCGACATGGCTTTAGGTAGTCTACCAGGGTTACTGCACTTAGATGCTACTGCTACCACATGGCCATAACCACGCTAAACATCCAGCGGCGTGGCCCTAAACATGTTTAGCTCGCCAGCACCAGCTTCCATCAAGTAGTGGCGTCCAAGGAGCTTGCCGTGTACATTGCAACAATGTATGCAGGCACGTGTGCTGATTGAGATGTCGCTGTTTCGTGACGAACATCTTTCGCTAAGCAGATGACCCCAAAGCTTCCGATTCCTCAGATGAGCATCCCAATGGGGGCCCAGCATATTCATGTCCAACTGGCCGGGGTGGCGGCGATCTCAACGCCTATCTCCCCCACACACTCGGCACTCTTGTAGGAAAAGCCAGGACTTATGCAATCGTCTGAACGTCTGAGAAACACGGAGGTTCAGCTCTCCAATCCGAAACCTTTCTTTGCAACAGGCTTTCCAGTTCAAACCCTTTTTGCCCTAAACCCCTCATCCTACGCCCCGAACCCCCTATCTTCACCAGGCCTCCTTGCAAACGTTATCGATCTCCAACTCCACCTCCGGTCCTGTGGTTGAATGCACCAACAGGAAATAACAGACACACACACACACAGGTAGATGTACATGTATATGTAATACATATATATATAATATACATACAGATAGAAATATATACACACACATATACAGACAGAGATGATGACATAGATATAGATATGATCTAATCCCTTCCTCCTGATTTATTAATGCGAGAGCCCCCCTGCCCCACAGCCCCCGCAATACAACCTCGCAAAGCGTTGGTAGAATTATGGGGTATGTTTATCTCCACTGTCACTTTTGAGGGATCTTGCTCTTGCTCCTGCTGCTGCTCTTGCTGTTGCGCCTGCTCTTGTTCTTGCTGCTGCTCTTGCCTTGCCCTGCTCTTGATCCTGAACCCCCCTGATGCCATTGAGGCTTTAAAAGGTGGGGATGATTTCGGTAGGATTGTGCCCAAAGTGCTTGATTATTAGGGGGCATGCTTGGTAAATGGATGACGGCTAGTTATAGACACAGTATAAATACAAATATGTATGTATGTGTGTATATATATATACATGTGCAGCTACATCCACACATACATTTACAGTTAAAAACCATACAGCTACACCTCTTCATACGACTCTTCATACGATTGTATGCTTGCGTGTGTCTGTGTGTCTGTGTGTCTGTATGTCCGTGTGTCCGTGTGTCCGTGTGTCCGTGTGTCGGTGTGTCTGTGTGTCTGTGTGTCTGTGTGTCTGTGTGTCTGTGTGTCTGTGTGTCTGTGTGTCTGGGTGTCTGGGTGTCTGGGTGTCTGGGTGTCTGGGTGTCTGGGTGTCTGGGTGTCTGGGTGTCTGGGTGTCTGGGTGTCTGCGTGTCTGCGTGTCTGCGTGTCTGCGTGTCTGCGTGTCTGCGTGTCTGCGCGTCTGCGTCTGCCGGTCTGCGTGTCTGCGTGTCTGCGTGTCTGCGTGTCTGTGTGTCTGTGTGTCTGTGTGTCTGTGTGTCTGTGTGTCTGTGTGTCTGTGTGTCTGTGTGTGTGTGTGCGTGGGTGCGTGCGTGCGTGCGTGCGTGCGTGCGTGCGTGCGTGTGTGCTTGTGGGTGCTTATATGTTTACATACACACCTCTGCGCCTGGTAATTCATACATGTAATTTTGCATGTACCTGATAGGTAAACGTCTGTGACCAAGCCTTTACCCAACGTGATATGCATGCTTCCGAACGAAGAAACCTACATGAATCCATACAGATACATATAGATACATATATACTTACATAACCCCTCATATCAGTACACACATTGCATGCATGTAGACGTAGAGCCATTCACACCTAATTATGAAGACATCCCTACATGCACACATGTCTGGGACCTGGCCTGGTACAACCGGGTAGTTCTCCAAATTTGCGCCCCTGTTTAGGTCCCCAATGAATGACTGACGGCACCGTTGTAAAGAAGGACCCGAAAAGGGATCCTCTTAGAGAACCACTCAATTGTACAGCTGAGTCGCTGAGTGGTGGGTGAATATCGCCCAAGAGATCTGCAACCCGCGCTGCAAAATCTGTCCTCGGGACTGCTCATGGCTGGATCCGTTAAACTGGCAAGCGACAAGAACAACGGGAGTTACTAAGTACTAGTATAAATACAGCACAAATCATAAGATACTAATTTAACAAACGTAATTATAGCACGAATGAAGTAACAAGGCGTTAGGGTCGTAGGATAATATGGGACCGAAGTTGCCGGTATTTGCAAGACTCCGCCCTTCCGGAGTGCAAGTCTATCACCATGCAAACAACAACTCTGCCAACCCTTGAACAAGAAACTTGCTTCAACTCATGTTGAGCTTCGTCAATGAGACATCCATAACTCACGGATACTTGCAGCTCATTTTCCTAACAGCTTCTAGCATAAGAAGCTACAACAGATACTGGAGCAAGTCCACGGGGCTCCTTTCTACTTTTCCGGAAGTCGACTTAAACACCTCCAAGATGTTGGTCTTTGTCCACCTGAAGCTACAGCAAAAAAAACAAGCCTGAACTCAAGATCCTTGCAACGAAAACGCTTGAGGCTTTGGGGCAGCTTCGTGAGGGTGCAGGGCTCAGCGTTTCGGGCCCTGGGGCGTTCACCAAGATGTTCGGCGTCTTCGAGCCGTCGTGCTTGAGGGCTTTTTGCTTTGGTTCTTGACGCGGGGTTCTTGAGACCGAATCTCTCAGCAACACAAGAAATTACCAGTGTAGAATGAAACTTCAGCAACCGAACAGGCCGACATGAACATCTCCTCTTGTAACATCTAACCTAGTCAGTCTAGTCTTTCTCTTTCGACTCTTGTTGCAAATTCTTGTTGCATACTATCTTGGCTGTGTTACCCCCTCCACAGGCTGCTTCTATAGCGATCGAATCAGGACTTTAGGGCATCGTCCTGCGGGAGCACGGCATCCAAAACTTCTGACGGGTCCCCGCTCTTGGGCATAACTCTCGGGCCCCCTAGCCCCCTAGCTGCATAAATCTCCAGTGTCTTCCAAGCCACTTTGGCGTGCCGATAGCCATGCCCACTTCCAAAACACAGGCCCACGAGGATCCCTCAACCGGAGGTAGGGGTACAGGGTTTTTTGGGAGAGGGGGAGTGGGGTCGGATGCAGATACGCACAGACTTTGACCGATACTGCTGACAGTCTGACGTTGATTTCGTACTCTAGCAATCACGGAATCAGAAATGTTGCGCTTGAAAGGTCTTTAGCGCCCTTGAAGGAGCATCCACGTCTGCGCTGAGAGCACAAAAGGGCCACAGAGCAGGAGCTTCGTGCTTCGCCGCCGGAGATACCCAAAGGCCCCATAGTAGTTCCTTGTCGGGGTCCATATATAGATTCCTATAAGGTAATTTCAAAAAGGAACTGCTATGGGGCCTATGGGTATTTACACAGTGTGGGCTTGGAAGTGCCTGGGCCTGTGGGCTGCGGCAACACTGGATGAGACCCCAGCAGCAAGCCACTCTGCTGTTTCAGCTGGCATGAAGGTGTAAATGTTGCTTGCATGCAAGCCCTAAACCCTTTGTGAGCACGGACTTGGAGTGTATGACCCTAAACCGTAACTCTGCTGCACGGTAGGTCCGATAGTTGTTTTCATCCGTGGAGAAAAGGGGCGCGAACACGGGGACTTCCAGCATGAAGAGAGTCTCTGGTACAGTCGTCGCCGCATGCACTGCGAGTCGTCGTCGAAGTCGCGAACTAGCAGCAAAAGTGGTCCTGACAATCCGGAAGATAGAATGATGATGCAAAGGGTCGGAGAAGAAATAGTTGTTGTTGGTGGTAGTTGTTGTAGTGGTAGTCGCATAGTGGCAGTGGTAGTAGTAGTTGTTGTTGTCGTTGCAGTAGCAGTTGTAGCTGTAGCAGCACTGGCACTAGTACTAGCAGTAGAAGGACAAAACAAAAGTAGTAGCATGAGCAGCTGCAAAAGTAGTACCAGCAGTACAGCACGGGAAGGCAGCGCTAGGAGCCGCCACAGCAGCGCCACGGTCGCCCTGTAAGTTGCGGACGCACTGCACCGGCTTGTCGAACAGGGTCTTCACCGACTGAGAGATAGAGCTGTTGTACAGGTGCAAAGGGGGTCGGCTCCGTAGAATGTGCATGCGTGTAAAAATTGAGCCACTAAACCCCTCAGCCCCTGTGAATCGCGGAGATATGCCCGATGTACTGTGATATTGTGATGCAAATAGAGACACGCACTCTCGAAGCAGCCGCTTTGACTGACACGAGGCACTAGTCCTAGTTTCACCGGAGATATCAAATAGCTTTCAAGTTATGGTTGCACAGAGAGCGATGCCTACTTTGCTCCTACTTTTGCTTTATGAGTAGTTGGGCTCCTGCGATTTTGTTGATGGACGAAACCCTGCTTTCGCCTGAAGAGGAATAAATACATGGGATGGTTCCTGTAGTTTAGATTGCGTTAACGGGACCTTCCCAGAGTTTAGAATAATGCAGGATTTAGCCCATCGGCCGTAGACGCAAGCACCCCTCATTGTCATAGGCCCTTCAAAATGCTGTTGATCCCTGGCAAAAAGACCATAAGCCAAAGGACACCCCTTTTTTTAACCAAACCTTCATGGTGTTCAATTTCCGTTCAACCCTACAGGCCCTGAACCCAACCCTACAGGCCCTGAACCCCTACAGTGCGTGCGGTAACCAAAGGGGGGCTCACGAGCCTGAACCATCGAGGAAGCTCTAAGCAGATAGTTTAGGGTTGATTGCGATGTGTTCTCATGTAGCTAGGGTTTGGGGGCTTATCGGAGGGTTTGGGGTGTTCTTTCTATGGCTTAGGACAACGCGCCCTAAACCAACCTCATGCAAGCAAGGGACCTGTCAAAGCATACATGGAACAGACGTACAGGCATAAATATAGATTGGGGTCATGTCCCTTTGCTTCAAGTAGGTTGGTTGTTCTGTGAGTAAGACACCACAAAGCCTCCGAAGCCTCGAGACAGAACAAACATCAACACACAACTCTGCCTGTCGATGATGAGCTGTGGACGGTCCAGGATTACAGTTTTAGCTGCCTTTTTCACAGTACATAAACCCTATATCCTCAGGTCCCTGAACCCCAAACCGTTGAACTCCGACCCGAACGAGACCCTGGCAGCAATCGGGCCAAAGTGAGACCGGCCCTCTGAGTTCATTCCAGCCTCGAAGAAAGAAACCGGCGGCTTCTAGGGTGTTAGAGGTTTCGGCGCTCACACTCGGACAGAGAGGTTTAGGGGTTGAGGGTTTACTGTAGGGCTTTAAGTTAAGGGTTTAGAGTCTAGAGCTCGGGGTTTCTGTTTTTGTCGGTTCATGTTGTTGGGCACCGATTTCACACTGCAGAGGTCGACAGCTCATCTGAAAGGGTTTGTTTTTGTTTGGCTTGCGGTTCTGGTTTGAAGGCCGTCAAAGTTGAGGGTTTAGGAAGACTTAGGATGCACCTAACCCCCGAAAGTATACGCAGCGCTTGGCAACATGACATGATTCAAGGAGGAGTGAAAATATTTTTGGACTTCGGTTTCAGGATTTGCAACTACGATTCCGGGTCTGGTGTGCCTTCTCGGTAGTTTGGATTACACACCCCTAAATCACAGTGAACTGCTTCTGGTCCCTAGTCTAAGTTTAAAGACATCTTGAAGCAGACCATACAGGCCTTAATTAAGCCTTAAGCCCTAAGCCTTCCACCCGGAATCTTAACGATCACGGAGTCCGTGTTGGATCGTGATCTGTTGGAGCTGCTGCGTCGTTCAGGGGTTCCTGGCTTTCGAGCTGAGGGTATTTGAGATCTGGATCGGGATTGTGCTTGCATGGCTGAGCATTCTGTGCGCTCGAAGCCATAGAAGGACTGTGGGCATAGGCCCCCGAACTCCACCCTTCGCCGAAAGCCGCAAACATGTCCCTACCTGCGAGACAGTATTCACCCCCTGAGGCCAAGGCCACACGAGCATACATATTGACTCCAGGCAAGCAGTGGCCACAACCTCGTGTATGCTCAGGAGTGGCTGGCTCACGGCTTAGGACTTGTGGTTTCAGTAGTACTAGAACTGTTGCAGACATTAGCAGCCGGGTTCTGATGCACTAGCAAAAAAAGCTCCACGGGTTCCTTGCTCCATCGAGCCATAGTACAACGTGCGCCCAAGCAGGCAACTCGGTTCCGAAAGTTGTAGCGACAGTATTCAGCTAGTTTTGGCTGGCTTCCGGAGTTCTAACATGTTCAAACCTTGCCCTAGCTCCAGGTGTCTTGTCGGGCTTGGCCGTCAGGAGGTGCCCCGGGTTTACAAGTCTCTTATCAAAACAGCTGAACATGGCCGGCTGCACTGGTCGTTGTTGCGAATCGGTACTCATACTGAGCGTGTAAGCCCCGAAACTTCTGAGCCTCCCCTACCGCTCCCCCAGAGCCTGAACCCCTAAGTCCTTTTGAAACCGGACTTGATGACTGCCAGCATTGCCTCCTCCGCTGTTCCTCAGCCGAGGCCCGAAACCTTCAACACAGCATCGCTCCCCTAAGCCCTAAATCCTAAAGCCCATGAGCCCCCATGAGCCCTCGAAGCCAAAACCCCAAAACCACAGACAAAAATTGGGTCCCTCTGCGGTGCTCTCGCTCCTTCGTCGTGGCTTCTCTGATGGATTTCGGAGCCTGGATCTGAGAGTTTCCGACACTTAGGGGTACCTTAGGGTTTCCTTTAAAGGGTTACTATAAGGCTACTATAAGTTTCTATAAAGGGTTTGGGGTTCAGGATCTGGGGGTTTCCGAAAATTAGGCGTACCTTTCTTTTGGGGGTCCTTGTAATAAGGATCTTACTATTTGGGGACTATATTGGGGTCCCCTCTTTTCGGGAAACTCCCATCTGACCGGCCTGGCATACAAAAGTTCAGAGGGTTTGTCTCAGAAGCCTATAACCTTAAGCTGCCAAAACTGAGAGTGGTGTATAGGTTAGGAGCTGCCCCCACCCTGTAATAGTGACCATAAGGATCATATTAGGGATTATTAGGGCCCTACTATATTCTATTTTCCACTATTACAGGTTGGGGGCCGCTTCTAATGTAACGTCAACCTCATATTTAGAATTCCCCGCGTAATTGCAAAATCCAATTCCCTGAACGTAATTAGAAACCCCCCCCCCTCCGTATTTGCAGAATCCAAGCGGCCTAAGCGGAAACAAACTGAAAGCAGAAGCTACAGGAGCTGAAAAGGCTTTGGGGCAATTGGAGTATCTCCCGGGGGCTGCAAACAGGGCTCTGACACATCTGGCTTCTGGACTCTTACCAAGCTTCTGAAGTTATGCTGGACCCGGACTCTTATTACGGAGGCTGAGGCTCACATGCTTGCGGGAGGGAGGGGGGGCCCCCTTTCTTAATACGAAGTGAACCTTATAGGCTCTTGTTATCAAGCCTCATCAGAGACTCATACGGATTCTACCAAGAAGTAGGTCGTGGGTTAGGGTAAGGTATAAAGGCCTTGATCATCAGACTGGGGCTTTATACTATAATCCCTACGCCCTCAATCACGTGTGCGTGTATATGTATATATATATATATGTGTGTATATATATACATATATTAATATATATATATATATATATATATATATATATTAGGGGCCTTGAGGGTTACAGTAAGGATTTGGAGTTCTTGTGTTCTTTGGGGCTTCGATGCTCACGCTCGCTTGATGTGTTATGCCATTAAATGAGTGCTTTTTGGTTTTAGGATGTCTTTGAGTTTCAAGGTCGCTAATTAGTGGTGCGTTTTGACTTGTTGTGCTTTAGTTACTTGGGGTCCATGGGGTCTTACTCCCTCAAGTCTTACCGGGCTACAAAGAAAAACAAAACAACATTGACAAATAGCATACATACATACATACATACATACATACATACATACACATATATATATATATATATATATATATGTATATATATACACACATGCAACTACAGCAACTGAACATTGCAAATGGTGCTCTTTCCTGTCACTCCTGGGTGTCTCGGTCCTACGCGGTGTTTTCTACCAGGACAAAGATTTAGCTCGGATGGCTATCCCGCTCTGACCTTCGCGAGCATTCAGCAGAGTTGCGTATATGGAACAATGACTACTTGAAATAAGTAGCTCTAGGACCCTAAACTCAAATACAAATGTTACGGGAGCCCTTGGACTGGTGGTATTTTCACCGGACGAACGGAGACAGGTCGGGTCCATGCACAGAATACTTGAACACAGGCGGGGAATATGGATTCGGCAGTTCATGAATGTTGGAACCCCTACAGTAGTACTCTTGACCACAGCCGGAAACTTACTTATCCTTAACCCTTTACGCAATATCCCTAAACCCAACAACCCAAACCCCTACCTGGCGATGTGTGACGTAGAATGTGCTGAGCTGAGTGCAGTGAAAGTGTAGTCCACCGACCTCAGCTTGACCCCCAAAGGCGGAATCTAAGAGACTTGCGTCGGTTCGGGCCCCAAAAAACCAGGTGCCCTTGTACTCAGGGGCCTTGCCATCGGCTTAGAAGGGTATATTGTACAGTAGTATAGTTCTTAAAGATACGCTTTGTAGCTGTTCCGTCTAGGGTGTGTTGTAGTATAGCATCTGTGGGATTCCGCGGGCCATGGATACCTTGTTCAGGGGTCCTTACAATGAGGATTTCACTTATAGCCCAAAGGGTCCGATATCATTCTGGTATATGCTTAGACCCCCCAAATACCCTAGAAGTACATACCATAATGCTACTTGGACCCTTGGGTAGGGAGTCTCTCCAGCATTTCGGGCGTGTTCCAACGCATGCCGGAGCCGGGAAGCTTATGGGGTGACAGGGCATACCTATAGTCTCCATTGTAGTTCCTTTTTCTGGTTAACCAAAATCTCTAGTATAGGGTCCTAACCATAAATTGGATAACCAAAAAAAGGAACTACAATGGAAACGATAGGTAATCCACCAAGGACTGAAGTTCCAGGAACACCGTCAAACCTTTTCGGGATAGTGTCCCAACCTTAGACACAGAGCCTTCGTCCCGCAGCCCCAGAGTCTTCGTAAAAGTGCCAACGCTGCGAACTAACGCCATTCACAAACCATGAGTTCTCGGTCTGAGTGTGTGTGCGTGCGTGCGTGTGTGTCCATCTCTCTCTGTCTCTCTCCACCTGCCTCCGCTTCTCGATTGCATTTTGATGCATGATGTAAGGACCTGCCTATGACAATTCGCTGTGACCATTTCAACAAAGACGAGGTAAGAAGAAACGACCCTGCGTCATAAATGGCCACATCGCTACATGTAAACGTCTCCTTGAATGCCGAGCAAAAACCCAAACCTTTGGTGCCGTGCGAGTTAGCACACCTATTCAAACAGCGACTCAGCCCCAGGCCACTGCACGACCCATCCCGTCACAGGTGCCCCGTTTCCATCGATTTCGTCCTGAAAAGGTGAGAGCTCAACATGAGAGAGACCGAAGCAGAACAAATAATATAGGAGCCTTAATGATTAGGAAAGGGTTTTGTGGCCCATTATACAATGGTTATGAAAAGGAACCCGCAAAAATAGTAATGGTCCTATAGTATGCCTAACCCGAAGCCCTGTAGGCCTCGTGAAATGCCTGAGAAGAAGCGGGGGGAATCGGTGGGGACATGGACCGAATGCATAGCCATCCTCTTGGGATGGTGTGCGACTGTAGCTGTTGTAACCCCAGTGGCACTTAAGCTCGGGGATGATTCCACAGCATCCCATCCTTACGGTACCAAAACCCAACACCGGACTCACAGAACATCCCCCGATTGATTGAACCCAGATCCTAGCAGCTACTCCCAAACGCAAGGCATGAGCCAAAGCTTTTGCATTCGTTGCAATAGTACATATATAGTTATATAATGTGTGTGTATATTTATATAGAGTTCTTCGTCGTCAGGGGGCTTCATCTGCTGAGAACGGGTTTCGAAGCCTGGACCTACATGCAGGACCTCATGGAGGTTTCAGGAAACAGCAGACCATAAGATCCAAGCCTACGTAACAGGGTCCATGTTGTCTCAAACCTGCCAAACCCTGAAGCTCTGCACCGCGAAGTCCTGAAACCTGAAACCGACCTGAGCCCCAGACCCAGGTTGCAAGGAAGCTGTAGGCGTCAGGGTCCTCTTGGCTTGAAGCTTCGAGGCTTTCTTGCTGGTATCTTGGGCTTGGCTGAGGGCCGAAGGATCAAAAAGCTCGACAAGCCATCCTTGGGGACCTAGGGCAAGTCAGTTCTCAGAGGTCTTTTTGTTGTCTGGCTCGGGGTTAAATGGCTTTCATGGGCTGACTTGGAAGGTGGAGCACACAGTTTCGAAAGCTGATAATCAGATTGCTTGTGCCGGCAAGCAGCACACTAACCCACACATGCTACCACACACTCTTCCTCTTCTTTGGCGTCAACAGCAGAATCGGCATCAGCATTCCTGCCACCACCATCACCAGCATCATCACCATCATCATCATCATTATCATGATCATGATGATCATCATCATCATCATCTTCATCTTCAACGCCGTAGTCTTCTCGTGCTTGATGTGGTTGTCGTGGTCATCGTCGTCACCATCGTCGCTCTCTCGGACCGAGTCGGGGAAGCACACGTGATGTTTGTGACTGTGACGGCAAATGTGACCGCCCGGGGCTAGGCAAGGAAGTGCGTGCTGTATCAAGATGTGTTGTAGTGACGGGTAGTGCTACGTGCAACTGAAACTCGTGGAGACTGGGCGGGGGATGAATGGCCTGACTGGCACGGGTGAGTCCTCGGCAACCACGATAACGACAAGATAGGTGACATGGACCGAAACAGTATGCGCTTTTGCTAGTTGCCAGTGGAAGACGTGCCGGACGATCATGGCGGCAATGATGGTGGTGGTAATTGTCGTGGTGGAGTGCTGTGCATCCTCGCCCTAGCACAAACCAAAAGCTCTGAAGGCGTCCCCCCCTCCCTTTCTGCGCTCTTCGCTCATCAGCTCCTTGAGGACGGGCGGGACCGTTGGGGCACTTGGCCTGGCTGCCCACGGCAATCCCGTGAGGAATTGCCCTTGCTCTATGTATATGCTGCAAGATTTAAGGGACGAAGGTCAGGATTATCGAAGGAACGAGGGAGAGACAAGCATTCGGGGCGCAAGATCCTTCAGGGTTTCAGGCATGCGGTCTTGTTCGGAGTGCACGAGAACACCAGACAGGTTACAGGTTACCGGCGATGTGTACACAACTGGGGCACCGAGCGCAAAAGGCTGAGTCGTCATCCTTGGTGATCAATGGTGTGATCTGCTGCTGTGCTGTGATTGGGATCTCTGCGATCACATCTATCTACACGAGACGGCGAAGCGCCAGTAAGCATGCCCACAATCATGGAACATGCTTACAGACAAAACTCCGAACAACAACCAAACTCAAAAGCTCACCAAGTGTCGCTTCGGACCAGTCCGACCAATCCGACTGTCCCTGGTCATTGACGGCAAAGGCCTCAATCACTTGCTTGCGCCGTTGCTTGTCTGTGATTTCGGGACGTGTCGGCTTTCGTTACACTTTACTAACGTATAGTCATCCTGGCGATAACCGTTAGATCAAGCTGTACAGCCCAGAGAATCCAATACCCCTTCATTAAGGAATACACCGGAAATAAAAGTAGGATGATTTATATAAGGAATATTTGCTAATTCGGTAGCCCGTGCAGAGACCATGGGTTTCGGAGAAAGACCTCTGCTGGAGGCACCGGAACCCGTTCGAGGTGAGTATCGTGAGGGTTCAGGGACTAGGGCTTTTTTTCCCTCTCGCATGGCTGGAATGCTAGGGTTTGGGTTTAGGGTTAAGAGTTTCGGCGCTCACACCTTACCATTCAAGAATACGCACTCCCCTCTCAAATTCCGCGACTCGTAGCCCTAAATTATTAATTGCACGGATTTCGAGGGCTGCGAGCAGCAGATCACATTACAGGAGGTGGGGGTTTGGAGTTTTAGGTTTAGGGTTTATAATAGAGTGTACTAGGTGGTGTGTTCTACTTCCAGTCTGTGGCTGTCAGCATGGAAAGGCCTCACCCCACCATATCCCACAACCCAGCGAAGCGACAAAAGCTTAATTCCGTGCATTGACGGGAACCTAGTGACCTAGTCATGAACTTTCCGTAAATACATACAGAGACAAATTGGTATATAGATAAGCTACATAGATACATCTACATACACCTGGGGTAGAACGTACAAGACGATATGTTGGCCCTGGCGTGTCTTCGGTTGAAGAAGTAAAGGAGGATTTGAAGGAAAGGTCTCGTGACCCCTGAAATCCTGAAATTGAAACCCTGCCTAAAGATACCCGAACACTGCCAATATAGGAGCCTTAACAATTAGAACACGGTTCTGGGGTCCAATATACTATAATTCCAGGAGTTGAAGCAAACTCCGAGTACGCTGCCCGGAACTGGTAGGTGTTGCCAGGGCCTGAGTGGATCCGGCAACGGGGGCTGCGAGGGTGCTAGGAGCCACAGTACTAAAATGGACGGAAGAAGATTAGGTGAAGGCTCTAGGGTGTATCAGTTTTAAAGAGGAAAAGGACGGTTTTCTGCTTGTGGTGCCCAAACTCGGTACACTTCTCGATAAGTGTGTTCAGGCTTGTAGATCGTCTGGCTCTGTGTGTGTGTAGCTTGAACCCTGCTCTTGCCCAATCAGGTCAAAGGCATAAGCCAATATTCGCATGATCAAAGACGCAACACAAACTGCATTGTCTCCTGCCCAGTCTTGAGAACAGCATCGGTTTGACTCCAAGCTGAACCAAGCAGATATGCATTGGCCGGCAGCGGTAAGTACTCACCTCGCTGGCGACAAACACGACGGCAAAGACATTGAAACCGAACGAAATATGCACACACCACACTGCACCCACTGGTTTCAAGAAGGCCGACTGTCCTGCTGAGGTCTGTCTCGTCTTTTTCTTCAAGGTTTCTCTCGTCATTCGCACTGCACTAAAATCGGGCACTGGTATTTGGGGGTTTCCGAAAACTACGGGTTCCTTATTAACTTATTTTGGGGTCCTTGTAAGCAGGATCCACTATTTAGGGTACTCTATTAGGGTCCCCTAGTTTCGGAAACCTCGCTTTTCTGAGCATGGCACGGAGCTGATTGATGCAGAAGTAGTAGACGCCCTTCCTTGGTCAGGGTTTAGGATTTAGGGTTGGGGATGCAAAGTAGTAGACGCCTTTCCTTGGTGAAGCTAATGTAGGAACCTGATTAAGAACCCTTGGGCCTTTAGTTGGGTTCTTTATATGAATCCTACTATTTTGGGGTTATAGGCCCAGGGTTTCTCAATCAGGTCTCTACATTAGGCCAAATTGCCTGCGGAAGCGCCTCACTAAACAAGCCACACCGTTGCCAGAAATCTTGCAAATGTTCAAACTCCATTTCACCCCTCCGAATTCCTCGGGTCCGGTAATGGAGACCCTAAGAGTTCCCTGTCCGGCCCGGCCGATTTACCAGACCCGGGAACTTCGAAATCGCCAGCCCCGTGAATCCTTCACACCGAACGGGGCCTATGATGTCCATCACCTGACCGCCGAAAGAGGCACTTGAGAAGCTTCGGTCAAAGGGGATAAGGAGGGACCCCTACCCGAGAATGGGCTATATACTCGGTATACAAAAGCTATATAAAGGGTATATACCTAGGAGGGCCTAGGGGTCCTTATTAAGGGTCCCTCCTTTTACCCCTGGATTCGACCCACCCCGAATCGGACGTGCATTGCCCTCAGAGCGCGAATACAAGCAAAACACATGACAGGTCATCGTCACGGGCCTGCTTTCAGAAGTCTGACTGAAGTCTATAGGGGCCAGGTGGAAGCTTCATAAGTAGCAAGTTGGTCATGTCCGATGATTCTTTTTTCAAACAGAACTGTATAGATATAAACATATATATATATATATACATACATACATACATAAACATATGTAGGCGCACACGGATGTACACCTCGGGTTCACTAATGCACGATGATATACAAGCCCACGGCATGTAAGTGAGCATGACAATTCTACAGAGACCTGAACAGAACCCAATGAATGATTTCGGGATCAAGCCGAGAACTCTTCTTAAACGTCGGTGAAACCCGGAAATACACGCCAGAAAAGCTCCGGGCTCATCTGGTGGATTCGTCCTCCAAACCTCAGGATCTCAGAAGAATCGAACTCAGCCGCTATTTGTTGTCTGGCTCGGAGGCTTTAGGGCATCGTGCCTCGGGTCTTCGTGGGGCTCCAGGGGTTGGTGTCTTGTGAGAAGTTTGCTGATGTCCCTCTCCCTCCCTCCCCCTCCCCCTCCCTCTCTCTCTCTCTCTCTCCCTCTCCCTCTCCCTCTCCCTCCCTCTCCCTCCCTCTCTCTCTCTCTCTCCCTCTCTCTCTCCCTCCCTCTCCCTCTCCCTCTCCCTCTCCCTCTCCCTCTCCCTCTCCCTCTCCCTCTCCCTCTCTCTCTCTCTCTCTCTGCTTTTCTTTTCTCTCTCTCTCTCTCTCTCTCTCTCTCTCCCTCCTTTCTTTTCCCGCTCTCTCTCTCTCTCTCTCTCTCTTCTTTTCTCTCTCTCTCTTTCTCTCTCTCTCTCTCTCTCTCTCTCTCTCTCTCTCTCTCTCTCTCTCTCTCTCTCTCTCTCTCTCTCTCTCTCTCTCCCTCCCTCTCTCCCTCCCTCCCTCCCTCCCTCCCTCCCTCGCTCCCTCGCTCGCTATCGAGACATTCGTACATGTTATACGTATGTGTACATACATACATACATACATACATACATACGTACATACATACATACATACATATATATATATATGTATATATATAGAGAGTCTATATATATATATATATATATATATATATATATATATTATATACACACATAAATACATACGTTCATACATACGTATATGCATATGTATACATGTATATGTCACTGTATGTGTGTGGGCGTAGCCATACATGCATATGGGCTTCTGGGTATGTACATGCATAAAAAATGAAATTCATGTACACACATTCGCATACATTATAAGCCTTGTGCAAATTGAAGCTGTGGATCTTTGCGCCGCATCTCCTGCTGGAACTTTGGAAGTCAGTCTGAATTTGGCGCAACCATTTTTGAGACATCACACCTAGCCGCCAGGAACCAAGCACATAAGCTTGAAAAAAAACGGAAGAGGCTAGCCTTGTGCCCCAAATGCCGCGCACCCTCAACCTTCAAGCCTGCATTCCGTAGACACAGGACCCCGGAACCTCCACTCCGAAAATTATGTAAAAGGATGTCTGAACAAAAAAGATATCTGAAATGCATTCTTCCAAGCACCGAAGACGGAAAGAGGTAAGGCAGGTGCCTTGAGTCTCAAGGCTTAGCCGCTGCACCCAAAGCCCCCACTCTCAACATCGTTTTGGCAAGTGGGCGTGGAGTCGCGTTTGATTCTACGACAGGGCCCATCAACCCAAACCGCTGGGAATGATGCGGGCGTTGGAGTGGTCTGCCCAGTTCGCAACTCCTTCCGCATGTCTGTGGCACAGGTTCGCAAAGTTATACCTACTGCATGGAGATTAACCAACACCCGGGGAGCATAAGTCCAACGATGAGAACAAGATCGACAAGGTCCATAATGGGGGCTCTATGCCAAATTCTATCACATCGATGTCCGTGACTAGGAGGTATCGCAGAATTCGGCCCGGCCGTCCTTCTATGTAACCTGCCAAAACCAGGAAGCCCAGGTAGCTATAGGATGTAGTAGGCTGGGCAAGGAAAGCTACACCTGCAGACTGATAAAAGTGATACGTTCTGTTTCTCTCCCGCTAAGCCCCCCTTCTAGAACCCCGACTCTGCCGAGCAACTGGGAAGCAGCACCCTTCTACATCTGAGACTATGCACATGCCAGGAACCAAGGCGCCGACTTCGCTGTGGACTCGTGCCACTCGGCTACCCCAGACAGCAAGAATCGATCAGCTGATCAGCACAAAAATCCCAAACCCTCTGCATGCCTAAACCCCCAACTACAACTACAACTACTGCTAATGCTACTGCTGCTACTACTACTACTACTACTACCCTTTTGTACTGCCTCCCTGGCCTTGACGGTCTGGCCGCCGTGAACTTATCGCAAAACTTCACCGTACATCCGACAGCTCCCAGCCCCGTGACTAAACGCCAACCTCACCTAAAACCCAATGCTTTACGAGGCAGTCCTGGAACTCGAAACCGAACCTGCCAGGGGCATTGGACAGTTGGAGGTACTGCTATCCCAAACTGACAGCTCGGTGAATCTTAGAACAAGGATGCTACTCTGCTGCCATGTCGGGTTCCATTCTTTTCTGCGCTGCAAATTCAGCTTAAAGGACTTCAGAATCGATGAAGGGGAGCGCTAACACCACAAGCTCGACAGGAGGACATAGGGCATAGGGACTTCCTGAACTCGGGCAACATGTTTTAGATGTTGTTGCTATCGGAAGGCTCCTCTACTCGGAGCAACTATCGGGGCCCCTTCGTTTGTGCAACTCCCGGATAGCTTGCAAAGGCTTGGTGTGCGGTCCAAATGCTAACTGCACGTTTGAGCAGAGGCATCTTCGCACGCATGTGGTTTTGGTTGGCTGCTGGCTATAAGCCTAACATTGCACCATGTTCTTTTGCAGAGCTTCACGCAGCACAATAAGACCGTCCACGCTTGCCGAAAACACACATGTCATGGGCAGTTTGCGCGCAGCAAGGCTGCTCAGCGTACTGGAGCACCCAAGGTGCTTGAAAGATCGAAATCTATGCCAGTATTTTGCGATTGCCATTTCCTCATGCTAGGAACACCAAGTAAGACAGGGCCACCCTTTCCCACAGAGGTCCGGGCGATGTTACCGGCCGACCGCCGTCGTACTTGGGCTTCACCCCTACGAAGGTGCTCCAACCTAGAGTTGCGAATGCGCCAACGTGTCTTGGAAATGATTTACATTCCCAAAGGCTCCATGTACCCTTATACTAGATACTTAAGCCTTAAAAGGGTCCCTATATAGGTACTTTAAGGCCTAAGTATATACTATATGGGTACATGGAGCCTTAGGGATTGTCATCGTGCGGTTCTTTACGTCCACGAAACAACAAGCGCCTGGAATCATGAACCGTAAAGAAGCAAGAAGCAAGCTCTTCAGATTGTCTGTGGTGTGCAATCAATGGCAAGATCATCTCAAACCAACACTGCAGAGCTACTACGATTATTTGGGCTCGCAACACGGCTACTGCTGCTCCTGTTGTAACTGGATGACCAAATGGAGCAGGAATGATAGCCAACGATATCCGATGATTAAATTCGTTATCTTTTGGCAACCGGTGGCATTGGTGCACCACATGGGGGTTGGGTCTAAACCTAATTGAGCCATAAGCCTGGGCTTCAAGGGTTTAGGGCTCGAGGCTCACGGATTGGAGGGCTTTTGGCATCCCACACCCAAACCGTCGCACGTCCATCGAAGCATCCTCCTCCGGCTCTGAGGCGAGAGGAATTTGGGAGTTTCCGAAAATTAGGGGTACCGTATTTTGGGGTCCTTATAATAAGGGTCCTACTATTTAGGGTAATGAATATCTTAGGGTCCCCTATTTTCGGAAACTCCCATTTCAATTCAAAGTTCAGGATCATTTAGGACCAAGGCTTTTTGTGTCTTAAGGATGAAGCGTCTAGGGTATGTAGGAGTTCGGGTTTGCAGATCTTAGGTCTAAGAGTATGCAACAGAAGGCGTGGGGTGTACTGCACGGTTCACTTCTGCGTCCATGCAGCTGGTGGTCTCATCTGCAGTGGAGCTGGTAACTGGCGGATTCGGCGCCTCGCAGCGACAGCAAACTCTACCAGTAAAGCCCTGCGAATTCAAACCTCGAAAGCCCGTACAGTGGAAGCCAGAAAGTTGGAACATCATTTATCCCCATGCCCTTAAGGCAAAGTTTAGGGATCTTAGCACTAATCCTCCTATACAAATGTTCCAACTTTCTGGCTTCTAATACTATATAAGTAGCGCAGAACTACGGAACCCTAGAACCCTAAACTCTTGTAAGATTGTAAACCCATACACCACCATGGCCAGGGCTCTGGAACTCAATCGAAACACTGCGCCCGTGCCTACGTAGACGCCTCTTGCTGGCTCGAAGATCGGGCTGAGACTCTTCAAACCCCCCCCGAAACCCTAGACTCCTAGACCTCTAAACCCTTTTTTCCCTCACCCCTACTCGGCCTTTAAGTAACCAGGGAGAAAAAAGCATAAACGTTTATTTCATAATGGTTCCATTAAGGAAAGAAAGTTTCTAAGTATAGTACTCCAAAGCCCAGTCTAAACCCCAAACCCGAGGCAGCCTTCGACACAGAAGTCCCTGGAAGGATCAGCATATACATATTCCTAAAGCCTGAGCCCCAGACCCCTAAACCCGCCGCAGTACTGAGCTCCATTGTGCTGTGTGGCTGTAAGGGATTGCAGAAGCAAAGGGGAGCCTCTGGTCTGGAAGCGTGCGTGCGGTACCTGGGCACTACTTGGGAGATTCCGAAAATAGGGGACCCTGATATGGCACCCCAAATAGTAGGATCCTTGTTATAAGGACCCCAAAATAAGGTACCCCTAAGTTTCGGAAACTCCCACTTCGCACTCCAAGGGAATGAAGGGAGGGTTCAAGGTTTACGGGGTTGAGGCTTCTGGGAACTAGTGGCGCTTATGGGGCAAATTGTCGAGTGTCGAGTAGCCTAAATTTCTTGAAGAGCTCGAGGACTATGATACGGCAATACCACTCATCCAAAATCTGCAGGTGCACATTGCCGACATGAGTTAACTGAGTTTCCACATCAGCATCCTACAAGGCTGGTGGAGTCCAACCCAGCATATGAAGTCAATATCCTCCACCTGGAAGATGAAACCTGAAAACCGAAGTCCCATCAGCCGACAGCCCAGTTCAAAATTTCTGAGACATCAATCCGGACGTGCTAGACTGACCGTCATGCCGGGCTTATAATGGAGGCTTGACAAGACAGCTGAAGGCTGGCAGGGGCACGAATGGCATACGATGCCAAGTGTTGAATTCGACACCTCCTAGTTAAAGCTCTTGAAATGATACCTCGCAAACCCCGAAACCCATGCGCATCATGGTGTCAGGTCCACTACTCACTGTAATGGTTTACAAGATTCGAGCTGAAGCTGCGACTGATTGCACCGAAACTGCAGCGGAAAATCCGAGAACTGTATTGAGGCTTGAGGAAGAAGGCGTAAGGTACATTGAGATCCCGGGATACTCGTAGTAAGAGGTTCTTGGTGTTGGGTTTTGAACAACATCTGCTACCAATTGCGAGCTGCTGCTGCCGGATGTGGATCTCGGATGGCTGACCCTTTTCGTGCACGACCCGCAGAAGAAAAAAATAACCCTTTTTTGCATCAGGACTTGTGCAATCGCCTGAGTACGTGGAAAAAATAACCCTCAACCCTAAACCCTACTGAGGCCCCGGCACGGCGATGTTACTCGGGGGCCCGTCGCCTGAATCGTTCGTCGCAAAGACCTCCGCCATGCGAGCCGCGTAGCCCTACACGTACACTGTGTAGAGCCATATTAGATATGCGGTATCACTGTATACTGTATACAGTTTAAAGTGAGAGCAGGCCGCCGACAACCATACCTGAAGAGACAACTAGAGTATAGCGGATGGTGTGGGGATGAGACAAAAGCTTCGTCAAGACAACCCAGCGGCCAACATGCATCCGATGAAAACCGTACAGCGAGTCATAAAGTGGAACCCCCCGGCACCCGATGTTTAAATACTCAGAGCCGCAAGGACGCTGGTCATGCTAACTGCGGCTGGGTGCAGGCAACGACTTTCACAAACCGAAATGTAAATACTAAAGCAAGCAATTAGGATTCGAAGAGCAAAAATGCCGTTCTTGAGGCCTCAATAGCTCTTCGATTTGGGGATGCTGATGCGTTCTGTACTGGGGATACGTAGTCCTGACAGCTGCAAAAAGGTGCCAAACGGCAGTATCAAGCATCCAAGAGTCACAGAAACCACTGTGAAAGCCGCAGCAAGATATAGCTAGCATCCGTGAACTCGATCCTATCGTGCATCTAGAGGCTTAGCAACCCTAAGCCCCAACCCTACATCTCCTTTCACGGTCTGTTCTGCTTCTGTATGTAAACGAAAAGAAGTCATTGAGGCTTTCAGCCTCATGTACAGAAGGCCTGAAGCCCTAAGAGTCTGCGCGCTCTTTGAAGGGTTCCCTTTTGATGGCCCCTCTACAGGATCTATAAGGGCTACTTTTGTGGTTCGATCAGAGATTTGTACGTGTTTACTGACAAAGGGGCCTTAGAGGGACTGTGCAGCTTCAATGTGGTAATGCAGTATGTTGGCTTTACATCAAACTGTTCCCACAACGTAGCATCAAGGCCACCGTAAACTACATATTGGCACATGGACCCTTATGGAACACTCGGGTCTAATAAAGATCATCGTCCTGATGCATAGCCAAACTGGCCACTTCAGCAAGGTAACTGTAACCACCCAAATGATCCCTGTAACGCTAGCTTCAAAACATCCCCCCGCCCCCCCCCCCAACCCCGCCCCTCAAAAACAAAAAACTCCAATTCCGAAACCCCAAAGAAGCTGCAAACCCCAGGAACGCCTGAATGGCGACATCATCCCCAGGCCTCGGTGCTCCGGTGCTTACACACTGCATCCGGACTAACCGACATCTCCAAGATGATGTCTGGTGCTTAGACTCTGTGTAAGTTTCAGGATGGTGCGGATTTTAACATAAACACTAACACCGGAATAGTATGCGGACACCCCATAGGATATCCGCGAATTCTTGAAGTTACCTCAGAAGAAGAAGCTGTTTTGGGCAGCAAGGGCTGGTCCCTACTTGAGGTATGTTGGAGCACCCAGGGTCCCTGGCCATGAGCACAAGCCATGAGTGCATCCATGTGAGGTATGTACGGTTAGGGGGCGGTTTAGGGTTCTGGGGTTTTAGGGTTTGGGGTATTGCATAATATAGGGCGGCTTAGGGGTTTAGAGTGGCTTAGGGGCTCAAGGCTCGTGACCTCAGGCTTTCAATTTTCAGAAGTTGGTCGAAACTCGCTCCGACCGATCTGAAGTGCTTCGGGCTTGGGGCGAAACAGTTGAAGGGATGACACTCACTACTATGCAATAAGCTGCCCTTATCATGCTGGAAAGTCTGTCTGCTTTGGCAGCTCATGTTCAAATTATGACCCGCTCTCTCGCCGTGTGCACTACGACTACGACAGACTCAGAGTTTGGTTGTGCTCCCATTCCTACGGTTTCGGCTTTAGGGTCTCATGTCGCGGCTTGTGCCCTCAATCCTGAAACCCCATCTCTTTAGGGATTAGGCCCTCATTTGGGCCCTCATTTGGTTAATATAGGGGCCTTAATAATTAGAATAGGGTTTGGGGGTATATTTCTACTTTAGTTACGATAAGGACCCCCGCCAAATTGTATAGCTATGTTAGGACATGACACCTTCCCTAAAAGCTCTCAACCACCTCTGTGACGCTTCGTCGCATGACTTCTCTCACGGCCTTCAATCTCCTCCATCTCACTCAGAATGGCACAATTCCAGGAGTGAGTCGTGAAGTAAATCCGGAAGCCTTAAAATGCAATCGTATGCCTGTCAACCCGTTGAAAATCCAAACTCTTCACCCTAAGGTCTCTTTATTTTCCCTCTTCCCGGATTGCAAGACGTCGTTAGCAGAAATTTCGAGGGCTTCAGGGCCACAGGGACAGGCCTCTGCGCGCATCCGAATATCAACATGGTTCACAAAAGCGGCTTCGGGATACAGTAGCATTATCGGCTACGACAATATACAGTACTCGACATGGCCACCAGTTTTGTGATTTGCAGCCGCTAGCTTATCTGCGACAGACGATGTCGTGTAGGGCTGAACGACATTGCGAGCTCGTCCGGTTTTGGGCTGGCCACGCAAGGCAAGGTCATGTAATGTAAGGCAACAAAATGCGGCAATGTATGTGCTGTAACGCGTACTGCGATGTAACGCAGTGTGTAATGTGCAATGTGTCATGCTGAATGTGTACATTATGATGTATATAAATCTAACTGATGCAACACGATGCGATGCAATGCAGTGCAACACAAAACAACACGAATACCTATTCTGGGGGAATCTCGGACCCGCGATGCAGATGATGATGTGTGGGAGTGAGTCTGAAGGGGAAGGGTCTGAGGCCGCTGCCGCAAGCCATCAATGGTGGTAGAAGTCGGACGAACGTCTGCAGTCACTCGAGCGGTGAATCGTGTTTGTCTGCATGCAAAGGGAGGGACGGAGGGCGAGAGGAGGGCGGAGCAGGGGAGGGGAGGGTACAGCAGAGAAGAGCATGCAAGGGCAGAGCAACACCTGGCCCGGGCCTGTGATCACCTTGACGTCGCCGGAATCCTTCGACGGAGCTTCTGTAGATTCCAACGAGTTTCCAGCACAAAGCTAGAACCCTGAGAGATGTTGATGTAGGCAGCAGGTGCACTAAACAGAAATTCAGGAAGGCCCAGAACAGTAGGCTCCAAAACTTTCAAAGCCCCTCAACCTCAACCCGAAGCCAAACACGCAGAACAGGCTCAGCTCATAGATCCAAGGACACGCTCCTCAGCCTCACTGTACTTTTGCAAGAGCTGCTCGCACTGTGGCCCACCTAGGTAGGGAGCGCACGTCAACGCCATTTAGGTTTGCCGGACAGAAAAGTTTCAAGGCAGCTGTGCATCGAAAGTCGAGATTTTGGCGCCGAAAAAACAACAAAAATCCCAGCCCCAGGGCCTGGCCTGGGTCTGCTGACGTTCGCGGCTCGGCTTAAGGAGGGAGTTGGGATCTCCAGCTTCAGAGTTCAGCTCACTGCTATTATGATCACTATTAGATACTATGATTATTAATATTACTATTACAGGTACTATTGTTATGGTTACTATTACTACCTGTTTTGGACCGTATGACCAGAGTCAAAACCGCTGACTCCGTCTAGTGGTAGAGGTCAAGAGGAAGGTTGAACTCTCCTGCCCATCTTTGGCTGATTGAACTTCCGAGTCGCTTATGTGTAAGGTTTCTCCCTTGTTCCCATGGTTTGTTTAGGTTGTAGGCCGCCGATCCGCCAAACGTTCAACAGCTGGCCACCTCTGGGCTTGCATCTCGTATCTGTGCGGTCTTATCGGTCGGACAACATTTTAGTGAAAGGAAGGCCATAACTTCTGATCGCTGAGTCAGGTATATACTTACTATAATATATACATGTGTATGTACTGATTTCTTTCTCGTTTGCAAGCATACTTATACCTGTATAAGTGTTAAAACAGTGTGCGGTTTAATTGAATATAGATCAGCGGAAACCTGCAGCAACCTCTATGGATATACGTTACGTACATGTGTATATATATATATATATATATATATATATATATATATATGTTTTCATACATATGTATGTTTGTATATATATATATATATATGAGTGTGTGTGTGTGCGTGAATGCCTAGATTCACAGTTCCACAGCTTACGGGACATCGCCGCACTTTGTTCCGGCTGAGTTGTGCGTTCTTTCGGAAGCAGTATCAAAGGAGATGTACAGTCGAGGCCGGCTAGCCCAGACATGAATGCTGACCATATACTATAGTATATAATTATACTACTACAATATGCTGGCTGCCTCGTTGCCTTCATCAAGGGCCACTCAACTTTCACAAAGTGCAAAACCATCTTCAGCAAAGGCAGCTGGGGTTCACGCAAAATGTGGGATTAGGTTCGCGCACACTCCGGGATCAGGTCTATCGTGAAATCGGGCTGAAAGGGCTCAAGGCATCCCAGTCCGCTGTGCCGACATGCAACCAAGACTAGCAAGCCAAGCCTGATGCCCCACAGAATCTGACTGGATGGCAATTCTGCGGCTGAGAGCAGCGCAGGCATAGAGCATGCAGTAACTGTCCACCTTACCAGCTTACCACCGAAGATTCAGGTAGTTCCATGAATCGAAACGAAGCAGTGCACACCTCAAGTACCGGCTTGCAATCGAAACAAGCCCCTGTATGAACTGTGCTACCGGCGAATGAAGAACTCAGAGAACCAACGATACTCAATAAGAAACGAACGTAAACGAACGCATGCTTCCGTTGACGTTGTTCGGCTCTGGCGGGCTCTGAAGGTGTCAGAGTCCTGAGAGTTCGGCTTGAGGCTGCAACCCCCTCCCCTCTCTCTCTCTATCTCTCTCTCTTTCTCTCTCCCTGTCTCCCTGTGCCGACCCAATCCAGGTCCTTGAGAGAGACGATCGGTAACAAGTTTGCGACACTCTAGGCTTCAGATCCTTTCAAAGTCCACAGCTTTAGAATCTTCCAACTTCACAGAAAGCATGACCAGAACCTGCGAGACTTTCAGCAGACCCCTGTAAACCATCCTTGAAGCTGATGATGCCCTCGGCTTACCTTTGGTTCGTAGGGAATGGAGGAATGGGGTACAATTATAACTACCATTACTAGCGTTCTTCCATCCTCTTCTAAATAAAGGTAAGTGGGAGGGCATCTTGAACTTACAACTGGAAGCTGATCAGAACCCCGACAGGAGCTCTTCAGAGCCAAACACTCGAAACCCATCTTAGCAGCTTAACTATCCTCACATATGGGGTTTCCGACAATTATGGGACCCCCAAACAGTAGCATCCTTCTTATAAGGGCCCCCAAAATAAGGTAACCCTAATTTTCGGAAACCCCCATATCTTAACGTATCTTAGCTCTTCAAAAACTCGGATCCTCAGTCGGAGGCCGGGCAGAGACTTTAAGGCTCAGCCACGCCGAGGCCTGTGCCAAATCTCCGTCGAAGGTCCCCATGTCTGCCGGCTTTGTGAAGCCTTGGGCTTGGGTGGTTTAATGTAGGGGCCTTAGTAATTCGAACATGGTTTTGGGGGTTCTTGATTATAACTACATCAGTATGCTATACCCCCAAACCCATTTCTAAGCATTAAGGCCCCTATAGATTACGATTTTAAGAGCCGCGGGGCTCGTGATCCTGAGCTCTACGGGTGTTTGCGGGTCCCTGTCCCGGAGTTGCAGAGGCGGAGCTCTGGGGGGGTCGCTTGAACCTTGTCTGCAACACGTTGCCACCTGTAAGAAAGGATGTCCTCGACTCTCACCCTACCTGGACCCCCAAAGTATATAGAATAATGGCCTTTTACAGGTATTGGGCCATTATTCTACCTACTTTTGTGGGTTTAGGAAAACTCCATCGTCCTACGGTTCAATGTCGAAAGAGCGGATGTTGCGCTGGCAGGGGGAGCCCCTCGATGTTAGACATTCTCGTTGTCTTTCTCTCTTTTAGATTGAAACTTCAAGAGGGCGATTCGATGGCACAATGCCCTTTTCCCAACGCCTGATTGCGACGGTAGACGAATAAATCAGGATTCAGGCGTGCGTAATTATCCCATACTACTTTGACTGTGAAAGCAACAGCTAGAACTTGTTGCCTCGCACATGCCTGACTGTGATACACCTGTGTATCCTCTGTCACGGTACCCTTTTTCACATATCTCAGGACCAAGGACCAAGGGTGATCTCCAACATCATGCCCCGCAATTTACAGTCAACACCAAGACAACTTCATGCAGAAACATGAACATGGAAAAAAAAACAGAAAAGTCCGTCCCGTGGACTCGACTCAGGTCACTTGCGCAGTCCCTGAATTCTCATCAAGACCGAAACTTAAGGCTTTAGAGTTTTGTGTTTTGCTTAGGGTCGGTGTTGAAAGGTTGAAAAAGAGTTTAGGACTTCAGGCTCGAGGCCTTCGAGGGCCTGAGGGTATCGGCTTGAGCAACTTTGCGCAGAGACATCCTTCCCTTCATGAGGCCCCGACTCACACTCACGGAGCTGGCCTGTCATATGCATTGCGAAGGCTGAACTTCCACCAGCAAGAAATGTACTACTAGTTCCCTCTAAAGAAGAGGACCCTGTTATAGAACCCTATTGGATACTATCGTTCCCTTGCTACTATATAATAAGGACCCTGTTATAGAACCCTATTAGATACTATCGTTCCCTTGCTACTATATAACTGGGACCCTGTTATAGAAGCCTATTCGATAGTTCCCTTTAGTAGAAAACTTTCGCAAACCTAAAGAGCCGAGCAGTAAGTCCCAGGGCTTCAAGAACGGGCCCCCGCTGACTCCATTCGACTTCCCAACCTCCTTACTGTAGGGGCCTTAATAATCAGAGAAGGGGGTGCGTATTGTACTATGGTTATAATAAGGATAATATACCCCCAAACCCTATTCTATTTATTAAGGCCCCTGCATTACACTCAGCCCTCTGCGAAGACCCTCCTGCCCCTAAGCTCAAGTTTCGGTTTATGCTCTCAGGCTTTTGAGGTCGAAACTGTCATCCGCAAGAAAGACATTCTCCTCAAAATACACATCGAGCTGGACGTGGCGCATCCCGGGGCTGCAACGACCGAATGCTGCAACGTACTTCAAGAAGCACGTGTGGGGAATATTCTTGAGCGCAACATGGAGCCCTTGGAAAATCTAACTCCGACGTTAAAGGGGAATGTTGTCCCAGAATGTTCAGTTCACATATTGCCTTTGCTGCATACCTGTCTTGTAGCAACATGTCCTTGCTTGTAGCTTAAGGTGTGCTGGGGCAATCGGCTCAGCATAGCCCTTCTGTGTCAGTCGAAGGGTTCACTCGCAACGCCGCATGCTCAGCACTCCACAGTGCTGGCGATGAGCTCGGGAGGTGCCCTCGGATTTCGGAACATGAAGTTGGTGAGCCTTTATGGTCTCTTGCTGGTCGCCTGGCTTCGAGAGGGTTTTGATGGACTTTGGTTTTGGGTTTACAGGCTCAGATGGAGAGGCTGAGGGCTTGGGTGGTTTCGTTTGAAGATGCGGACTGAATGGGTTCTCGCCTGTTTTCCAGGTGTGAGGCCGACTGATCTCAGACGGGCGGGCTCGCGAAACATTCAAGAAATGCCTACCAAATCTTGCAATGAATCTTGGCGAGGGAAAATGCGACACCTGAGTAACTCGCTCGTGACCATTAAAAGCACACCTCTGAGGTGCGGCTACGTATGGACATTCTATGAGGAACGCCATGAAGTCTTGCTTGGTTACTATTCTGTTTGATGACAACCCGACCCAGAACCTTAACTCACAACTCTGAACCTTGAAGGGTACCTAGAATAAGCAAGGTATCTCAAATACCCATTGTCACCGAGACGTTGCTAATTAAATAAGTTAGCTCCAGAAGCCCGACTGCCTGTATGACGAGTTTAACTGAGTTTAACTGTCTATCAATTCCATTAGTACTTATCTATCTTCTTTCTATCTCTATGTAAAGCACTGCCAACGTACGAGTAACTGGGCTTCTATATGGTTAACTTTTATCGCTCCCGCAAGATTGCCCCGGGCCCCGTGCATCTTGGACGGAACGTCCTGTGCATGCTGCATAGGCAGTGACACGCAGGCAGCATGAGGGATAGGGTTTAGATTCAGGCTCTGCGTTGCGGTCACAGCTGGAGTCTAGATCACACGGATTCCCGGAAATGTTCGAATTGAGTACCGGCTGCCTGCCTTGGCGAACGACATGCACGAGTGCTTTGCCCCTTTGCTGCGAAAGTGCATTGCTGAAGGGGGTTTCGGCCGTATGAATGAGACCGAAAGTCAACAATAACAGGCAACAGTACTCAAAACTCGCCCGGCAGTCGATGCCAGCTCCGTTCCTCACCGCCTGATGCACCTATCTCTTCCAGTGCATTACTGCGTTCCCTGCGATCATGTGTATATAACCGTTTAGATTCGCGAAATTTGCCATCAGGCAACTGCTATCTGGACTGCTGGGTGACTGGGAACCATCCTGTACAGTGGTTGATGGGTGAGCAGCCTGCATCGCCGACTGTTCTTTCACAGATGTGCCGTTCCTGTGCCTGCAATCCAAAGAACGGCGAGCGAGGCATGAGCAGGCGCTAACATGCCATGTGTGAAGAAACCGGTGGCCTGCTTCACTTTCACAGGTGCAGACGGGTCCGACCAGTCCTTGCAACAAGATCGCCCATACTAGTGCTGGTGTCTTTCAGGTAAAGGTAGTCGTTGCAGTAGCAGTAGCAGTTCGCAGCAGCGGTTCTAGTAGCAGTATCATTCGCAGTTGCAGTGGCAGCATCAGGACCAGGAGCAGCAGTAGCAATAGCAGTACGTAGCTGAAGCTGAGCGGGAGCGAAGCCTAACAGTAGCAGCAGTAGTAGCAGTCGTCGTAGCAGTTGTCGTAGTCGTTGTATATTACTATTATTGTTATTAAATATTTGTTATTAGCAGTGGTCGTGGTAGCAGCATTAGCCGTGGCAGCAGCAGTAGCCGTAGCAGCGGCAGCAGTGGCAGTGGCGGCAGCAGTAGCAGCAGCAGTAGCAGTAGCAGTAGCAGTAGCAGTAGCAGTAGCAGTAGCAGTAGCAGTAGCAGTAGCAGCTGTAGCAGCTGTAGCAGCAGTAGTAGCAGTAGTAGGAGTAGTAGCAGTAGTAGTAGTAGTAGTAGTAGTAGTAGTAGTAGTAGTAGCAGTGGTAGCAGTGGTAGCAGTGGTAGTGGTAGTAGTAGTAGCAGCTGTAGTAGAAGAAGAAGTAGTAGTAAGAATAATAACGATGGCAAGCGTCCGAAGTGCCGATGGCGTTGATGCAGCGAACCTCGATCGGAGGCAGCATTCATAAAAGGGCCGACTGTCTACAGTCTAAGAGTGAGTTGACTTCTGTACCCACCTAGCATGGTGGTTTCGGCTTCAGGTTGTCAGGCTCTGCAGAGCGAGGGCCATGCCAAACACTAAGAGACAGTAGTAAAGGCAAGCTAGCGACCGCTCCATGAACATGGCTGCACCAGAAACGACATCACCCCATACGCCTAGCTTCCGCAGCCGAGAAGCAGTATACCGTACCGCCATGAATCCTAATGATGCTAAGCTTGTTCAATCTGTCTTGAGGTCTTTACACTTCAAAAGAAAAAAGGCTAATAATTATTCATCAGTTTTTTGGCGGAAACAATTTCGGGCCATTGCAAAAGAGTAGAGGCAGAGTTTACCTGGGGTCGTTTGGCAAGGATCCTAGGCGGGTGAGGGGGGGTCCCCTGCTGACAGAAGCACCAGACGAGCAGACCAGGTCATGGCGATGTAACATAAAAAGTGTAATTATACAGAATACAGCCTGTAGCAACCTCAGGCAGGGCACATCACAGACTTCGAAGGGAGGATGTGCCAGCCTGGAAGTAGTAGCTTTTTGACGGCTGCAGATTGGAGACCGCGAAGTTCGTGTTTGTGCCCTGCGACACAGAGCGTGGGGAAGGAAGGTCCTGCTACAAAGAGTCTTCAAGAGGACCTATACTAAACCCCTTGCTCTAAACCCCTGGACCCGAAACCCCAAACTCTTACACAGGGCTTAAGCCCCGCGTGCCCTTAACCCTAAACCCTGTCAATACCCTTTAGCCTCTGATGCTGTTGTCACTGTTCTTGAACCCTAAACCCTGTAGAACCCTAAACTCCTGCACCCTGAACCCTATGCCAGGAACCCCGGGCCCTGAAACCTAAACCCTGAAACCCCAAACCTTGGAGCCCGAGATTGCAGGAACTCTACAGCTAGTGTACGGAGGATCCCAAGGGTAGCGTAAGGAAAGCTCCTTAAGACAAGGATTTGGGAGTTTCCGAAAATAGGGGTCCCTAATTTTGAGGTCCTTATAATAAGGATCCTACTATTTAGGGTACCATATTAGGGTCCCCTATTTTCGGAAACTCCCATTTCGGTTTCTCTGGGACCTGAGCCTGGGTCCGAGCTTCGAGTTGCTTCCTCCAAACTGGGGCTGTAACTTCAAAAAGGGTCCAAGTATCATTATACTTGAAGGGCATTTTGGGGGTCTAAGTATATACCATAATGATACTTGGACCCTTTGAGAAGAGTTTCAGAACATAAGCGCAACTCCAACCTGTTACTGGCCGAAAGGGTCTTCTTTGCCAGCCCCTGCTTTTGCTTTTGCGTGCCTGGAGTGTCGAGTCCGTTGATCCGGGGGTCTCTTACTAAGTAACCACGTTTGAACTGAAGGCACAGACTGCCTTAGTACGGATGCGGTGTCTGATTCAGAGTCTATAGAACTGAAAACCGTTCTCGGGCGAGATCCGCCAAGGCTGGACCACGCTCGTCTTAAGCAGCATCGTTATAACTAAGTCTTGTAATTAATGCCGATTTGTTATTCTGTGACGATCAGTAGTGGTACCCGTGCGACTATATGGACAGGTCCCTAAAAGGCCACCTCGCAGCACCAAGTCTAAGATGCTTGCCACCATGGTTGTCACGACAAAAAACCCGCTGCTAGCTTGATAAACAGGCAATGCGGTTTCCGAGGGCCACAACACTGTTACAAGAACATGTGGGAGTTTCCGAAAATAGGGGACCCTGCTATAGTACCCCAAATAGTAGGATCCTCATGAAAAGGACGCCAAAATAAGGCACAGTACCCTAGTTATCGGGAACTCTCATGTTGAAGCACAAGAATCCCTAGCATTTGGCCGGGTGGGGTCCAAACTCCGGCCTTTATACCCTCCACTTCACAGCTGCAGGACATGCTCCTGGATTCGGAGTAGCCTCGAGGTTTAGCATGCTTCGCTGGATATAACCGAGTAATTAACAGATGACGGAAACCCGACAACAGCACCTCAAAACGTCGAAGGGGCCATGGTCTTGGAGTCTGGAGTCTGGACAACTGCAGCTTAGCTGCACTCAGGGTCTTGAAACCGGCGACGAGAGAGACTGTCTTCAAGTTATCTTATTGGCATCGGCGTGTATGCTTCCAGAATGCACATGCCTGAAGCCCACGGCTGAACTTGCTGAGCACAAGCCCCGCCAACACAGAACAAATGTGCGTCTGAACCGAGTGACAACTACGCACAACGCCTGAATCTGCCTCACGCACTTTCTAAAGCACGGTCCTTCGCCCCCTCTCTTTCTATCTCTCTGTCCGTCTGGCTGTGTTAAATCCACTCGCCTCCATTCTGACTCCTGGCCGGCCTCGGACTACGCATCCGTCCACCCTCAGGGTAGGATGCCCACTTGCCTGGGCCTCAATCTGAACCCCTAAGCCCCATAGTAGTCCCTTTTTGGAGCTCAGACTTCGCATCCTAGAAGGTAATCCCCAAAAGGAACTACTATGGGGCCTATGGGTATAGACCCTAAACCACAAGGTTTCGCATCCCTCCAAAAGAACACGCTCTCGGCTGCGCCCCATCTGAGACTCTCAGGCCATCCACGTAAGCCGAAGCCGATAATGTCACGACCAAGGCCTCGCAAATTGTGCCAGCGTGCATCCCCAAACAGCAGAAGTAATATAGGGGCCTTGAACAATTACCTATACTATTTTGGGGGCTCCTCATTATAGTTATAGCATAATGGGCCCCAAAACCCTATTCTAATTATTAAGGCCTCTTTGTCGTAGCTCGACGACCGTGACGACCAGGACTAGTAGGACCACTGCCACCAAGACGACACCAGGACGCGACCACCAGGAGATCCCGCGACACCGCTACGAGACCACCGGGGCACTGCTAAAGCTTAATAATTGAAAAAAAGGGTTGGCGTATAATTGGAATAGAGGTAAAAGAGGTAAAGCTTACTAATTGGAATAGGGTTTGCCGTATATTTAAACTACACTTGTAACAAGGAGCCCACAAAATATGTAGTATTGTGATAAACTGCACTTCCTCCCAAGTACTGGCGGCTCCAGCACCAGCTCGCAACTGCCTTTCGCAGAGGACCGGTGTGTTTCGGGTCCGAATCTTTTCCAAGAGCTGTGCTTCGATGCATGAAGCAGAGCAGAAGCGGCTTATAGTGTAAGCAACGAATCCCATCCAGGGGCGCACGGCATGCAACACATTTGTGAATTATATATGCACCGCACCACAGCGGGAAATACGCAGCCCAGGCTTCCTGTATAAAGTATTAGGACGCAGGGAGGCATTCTTCCGCGAACGAGTGCGCAGCCGCATCAGTTCTCTTGCCCAGGGTGTTGCCACACTGAGATTTTGGGGAATGAACCATGAATCGAATGATGTAGGCTCTTCACTCATTCGAAGAGGATTTTGGGGTTCGGGGGTATGGCGTTGAAAAGTTGACGATGTATAGTACAGGGGCCTTCGCACCAGTAATTGGAATAGGGTATCGGGGTACGTTAAAAATTACAGTATGCTTAGAACAGGAAACTTAAGGAAGTATGATTCTTCAGATTCAGATCGCGATATAATGCACCAGCGGAACTTGGCAATCCTTCAGTAGGTCAAAGAGTCAGGACAGGTTGCTTGTCAGGCTGCTTAGTCCAAGACATCCAAATGCTCGTGGTCGCAAACCGATTCTTGAGACCGATTCCGGGAAACGCCTGCTGGATTTTACGAAGACCAAGACTACGCCCGGCTTCATCCATTGGGGATGCTTTTTGTCAAGTTCAGCTCAGCCCCTAAACCCTGAACCCAAAACCGTTCAGCTCTAGCATTTCTGCTGAAGAAGCTGCTGCGCACGAGCCTGGAGCGGTTGCCCAGGCTTCTGTGTTAAGGTGCCGCGCCCTTTTTACGAAAACCTGCGCCTGGACCCCTTAAGCCGAATCTGATAGGGCCCTGGCTATCAGAGGGCCGCCAGAAGGCGACGATTGTGCGAGGGAGCAGCTCGAACTTGTAGGGGGCCTTCAAGGCGAGATCTTTGGGTTTGCGCGATTTGGGCCCTCTCTACACTGGTCTCCCGATGAGCTGTAGATAGTTCGAGAGCTGGTGCTGAGGAGAGGGGATGTAGAGTTAAATGTATACCGTATACTCCGTAACTAACAGATGTTATCAGTAGTCCTACAGTTATCGTCTTCGCAGCCACCGTAGTCGTAGCAAACGAGGTGAGCATCATAGAGGGAACACTGCAGTTAAGGAAATTTGCACCAGCAGCCAAGCCCAATGCTCTTTTTCCAAGCCTGAGAGACGTTCCGCGCAAACCACAACAATCCCTCATCAAGCCAGACATACAAGAGCCCTCAAGAACTGTGCCTCCGGTTTGCTGGGCCGCTCCGACCGCACCTGTGAAGCTGTTTTGAGACGGAGGTTACTGAAAAGGCCAGTTTCGCATAGTATAAGGGCCTTAAGAATTACCAATGCTGTTCTGGTGGTTCCATAATGTTCCTTATCATAGCCAGTCTGAAAAGTCTAGAAGTATTACGACCCCTAGAATCAGCTTCCAGGGCTGACGGCTTAAGGCTTCTTCGACCATTGCCGACTGCACAACTGTGAAGGTCTCTGACAAGGCAGTACTGGCATTATTGTGGTATTGTTTTTTTGTTCTTAAATACTCCCTGTCGTGCCGACACTGCTGCATGCAGCTAATATCGAGAACAATGAACGTGACAGGCCCCACACCTGCCTTTGTGCCCAACTGTGTCTGTGTGTCCGTGTGCAGGATGTCAGTGTTCTAGATAGATCCCTTCTGCAGGATGTCAGTGTTCTAGATAGATCCCTTCTGAAGGGACCAAGCGAGTAAGAACCCCCACACCCAGACATCCCAGAAAACCATAAACCCTGTTGTTCAAAGTCCCAGCGGAGAGCCAGAAATCCTCTGACCAAAACCCGGAACAAAGAACAAGGTTCTTGCTGAGATCACTTGGGTTGAGCGTAAGTCCAGCACTTGTAAGAGCCTGCAGACTAGCTCAAGAAGGGCTAGCCGCGGGTTCAACGTACATCTCAGGTTTTCACAGACTTGACATCCGGTTCCTGGCATCACTGACAGCGTCCCCTCTCTCCAGAACTCCTCGGGCGACCTATCGTGTCCGAAGCCTGATATGACTTCGTGCATGAATGAAGGGATGGATTTGCCATGCATTTTGAGGATGGGTGGGCGAGTACGCAGGTATGGAGACAGAAGAAAGTATCTCTTGGCGAAGAGCTGAAGTCGGAGGGATTGTCAGCCCCCCATTGACTGGCCTGCATTGCATCGCTGGAGGATGACCATGGGCCTACTCCCGCTGTGCTGTATGCACGGACCTGGGAGCATGTTTTGCAGCTTCGTGTTCCCATGGATGTTTTGATTCGCATCGATCTTGCTGTTGGTAGCTAGGCCCGGCAACTATGCCTAAGTACGACTCTGTCGCCTCATGTCACAGTAGAGCCAAGGGCTTGGTTACAAGAAAGGGCGGGGACTTCCTTCGTGCCACTGGAGCAATAATCGGCAATAATCGTGCACTTAGGAAGCATTTGATGCTGCAGGGGTTCCTCATCTGCGCCTATTTCGCCGATGCAAGTAGTGGAAGCGATAGTGGCAGTGTTCACAGTCGTACTCATAATTTCGGAGCAGGATCTGACTTAAATCTTCCGAAACCGGCAGACTCGAAATTCTGAGCGAGATGGCTTGAGAACAAAAGCCAAGCTGAATTGAATGATGCTGAAATCTCTTGTTTGAAGGACACGGCTATGCACTTCTTACGTCGTAGAGAACCGTCCTAAATGCGGAGCCCTGTGGCCAGCAGGCTAAATCAACAAGCCCTCATCCATCCCAGCATCCTTCTATTGCAGGAAAGCTGCACCGAAGCTAGTCTAGCAGATCCATGACCGGGAGAAAAACAGAAGGCACTGAAGTGCAATGTTCCCATCTCCCCATGCCCGAGCTGCTTTTTCCGCACCTGAAAGAACTGATCGATGAGTGGCCCCCAGACGCCAGGCACCAGTGCCTGCAAAGGCCAAAGGGCCGAAACCGAATCCTATGGCTTTTGACATGAGTATGGTTGTGAACGTTAGGGTCCCCTTTTGGGTACCATAAATATTAGGTGCCGTATTATAAGAAGTACTCAAAAGGGGACCATAACTTTGACAACCACCCACATGTAGAGCCTTGCGGAGAGATACCACAATGGCTCACTAGCTTCATCAGCTCATTCTCAGCCAAGATAATGTGAAAACCGTCCGCAGCGTGTCTGCTTTAGACTGTTGTCAAGGGGTGTCAGCTTTATTGCTCTAGGGACGACTGTGTGTCAGCTGGATTGCTTTAGAGAGGACTGTGATAGCTTCATTCGCCCCTGTTCTAGTGCAGGACGTGGAAACACAACATAACATGCAGGTACCTAAGGTGCGGGAAATAGCTTGCCTCAAAACAAACGTGCTTCATGATATCTCAAAACAAATCTTCATGGTCCCCAAACCCTCTAGTGCAAAGCACGAGCGGGACCGCCATCAGCTCGCCTCCACCAATGTCTCGTTGGGGAGGGCAGTTACGTCCGCGCTCTTCACCCTGAGGCTCAAGGATTTCGGCCCCTGAGTCTATAAGAGCTACTATCAGGGATCTATAAGGGCTACTATAGAAGTATAAGGGATGTATAAGGTCACTATGATATAGGGGCCTATCTAATTGCTAACACTATCTTGGGGGATTCCCTATATGATAATGTAATATGAGGCTGAGGTTCTCCCTCCAGTGGGACACCCGAGCCATGGCTCGGTGTACAGGGCTCGAGCTATGGGCGGGCTCTTTCAGACGCTGGATTCTGGATCGGATCTTCTCCTCCCTTGGGGGGTTGGGCTGGGGCTCAGGACGGAAGTGTATGCTGGCTGATAGCTTTCAGGGTCTGGTGCGTTTTCTCGCTTGTAGGACTTCGACCTTAACCGTACAGGATGTCGTCACATGGCTGGGACATCAACAAGGGTTTCCAGAAAAGCTTCGCCAGCGCAAAGCGAAAAGCTCCGTAAACCATAAAGACTCCAAGCCCATCAAGTCAAGGCAGGACTCCTGACCCGATGGTTTGAGGGTTGCAGTGAAACCATGCTAATATATAGGCGCCTCCATAATGAATTACCAATACTATGTTGGGGGGTTCCTAATTACATGTGCTAAAAACAAGGGAAGTGTTGTTGTTGTCTTTATGTCGCTTTGCGGAGCTTTGGATGCTTGTTTTGCTGCGGGCGTTAGGGCTTTATGTGCGGGTTGTCGGAGAGCTGAAGGTGCGCGACTACCGCACCGGTAATATGGGGCCTTAATAGTTAGATTAAGGTTTTTGGGGCCATTATACTCTAGTTCTGATAAGGAGCCCCGAAAAATAGTTTTGGGAATGAAATATTTAGGCCCCTAGAGAAAAAGGCTAAGCCCGTAGTGTGTTAGCGAGCGAGTTTGGGCTGAATGTCAAACTGGAACAGCTCCAACATGTCTCGGGTGGCTTTTTAACACCATCAGCTTCGCATTCGCAGGTTTGCGCTGCATTGCCCCTGCGCATCTGCGCAGAGCGGCTGCTTTGGGTGAACCCTTCCGTTGGTCGAAATTCTTCCCACCCGCCCTCATATGTAGTCAATAGTAGATTCAGAAACCCATTAACATACTTTACCTGAGCCCTGAACTACATTACTAAAAGCCCCTGTCGGTAGTGACGGACATGTGAGATCATGGGAGAAACAATCACACTAAGACGATAGGCACCGCAACCGCAACACAGCAAGCTCCAACATCAGGTGTGCCGCCGACAAACTGGAGTTGTTTCTAACGGTTGCAAGAAAACCAGCATCGTCTCTCCCTGTCACTGTCACTCTTGAATTTGTGAACATTCTATAGAGTTTATGAAGGTACGAGTACCGCGGCGTGCGCTTGTGGTCCAGGACATCATATATAGGTGCCTAGAGTCTGCTTCACGTTTCCAAACCTGAGCGGAGTTGTTACGAAGAGCAAGGAGTCATTCGCTAATTTGCTACTTCGCCCTCTTTGCTGCAAGCCAACCATGACAGGCTGACAAGCTGGGTGGACAGCAGTAGTTGCTACATGGATCTAAGCCGGCAGTTCCAGCAAGCGGGCAGGTGGCTTCTTTTTCCCGGCTTTGGCGGAAGCTGAACTGTTTGTGATGTCAAGGGTTTTACGAAGCACTTCCAAACTGCGGCTTTGACAAATGGGATTTCGAGAGCACTGGCTTTGGAATGAAGGCACACGGCGTTCTTTCGAAGAGGCTTAAACCCAAGTTTCCACAAGAACCGACGACCGAACATGTATGTTTCTATTCTTCACTACACGCCCCCATCATGGTAGCTTAGAAATAATAAGCTCCTTAAATGCCCACGTGAGAAGCTTCGGGCTTCCAGGTTCCTCCTCTTAGGTGTGCGGGCATTCGCTCTGAACTCTTTGCCTCTGACTTATGCTTTTGCACGTGGAAACTTCAGAAAGCTCACACTACCAACACACACGAAAAAGTCATGTTGCTGGGAAGGCGGCTTACGGCTCAGCTGGCTCATCCAACACGGCTAAAACAGCAGCGAGCCCGCGAAGGAGGAGTACTGAGCTTCGTGAAACCCTTCGGAGGTCGGATGGTGGGGAACGTCTTCAGCTCTCAAAGCCTCTGCTGAAACTGCTGGGAACATCGTGCAAGGTCGGAGAGCTGCCTCACTTTGCCCGTCGACTGGAGCCAGTCCTCCACATCTTCGTGTTTTGAAAACGCCCTACCTGTAATTAGCCGAAAAGACCTACCTTTTTCAGGAACTAGATATGGAAACCATATGCAACCAGAATAAGGAACCCTAAAAAGGTAGGTCTTTTCGGCTACAGGTAGATGCTGATCAAAACTTGTCCCTGCTGGCAACGTACAGGGAGCCCATCCCCCAAGGAGCGGCCGCTGAAAGTGTTTTGCGTACAGTTTTGCTTCGGCAGACTGGGCTCATGCTGCACCACTTCTCCATAATGAACAACAAGCCCCAAAACTAATCAAAGCCCCAGGCTTCAAAGAAGGCGCGACCCATGGTAAGGAGCCTGGGATATATAACTACATGCGAGTCAGCCATGACAGCACCTAATGGGGCTTCTCCGGCGTATCTCTCGAAACAACCCCGCTTCGGGCTTGGTCATCAGGCTATCAAGCCGGAAGGGATCGGTGATCGGTGTCCTTGAAGTGGCTATGAATGGTCTCCTGGGCCTTCTTCTGCCTCGGCCCACAGACGAAAGCAGGGCCTATACAATCATCAGCGAAGACTTTGAACCTGTAGCTGCACAGGACTTGTGCCCCGCACCAAGGCCCTAAACCGAAGCACTTAGCAAAGCTAGCACGCGTGATAGCAGCCGAATGTCGAAGTCCGAAGCACTACGCCACAAACTCTCAACCCTACTCTCAAGGCTACAGAAGCACGAAGGAGCAGTACCACTGTCTTAATACTGATCACCCAGTTTTCTGGTTGTAGCAAGAACCCTCTCCATGGACGTCGCCAGCATCATAGTAGCAACAGTTTGCGTAGGAGTGGAAGTGAGAGAAGCAGGAGGCGTAGTGGCCACAATACAACTGGTAATCATCGCAGCAGCAGCAGCAGCAGCAGCAACAACAACAACAACAACAACAACAACAACAGTCGTCGTCGTAGTCGTAGACGTCAAGGTAGTCGTAGTAGTAGCAGTCGTCGTCGTCGTCGCCATATAGTAGAAGCAGCAGTAAATAGTAGTAGCGACCGTGGTCGTCGTCGGAGGCGTAGTACTGGTAGATGGTAAAGGTTACAAGTCCTTCTATCACATAGGAAGGCTCTCAGGTAGAACCGGCAAAGATCATGACCCTCGTGCTGTCCAGCTGGAGCCAAGGGGCGCGAACTCGCTCGGCACGCAGTGCAGCTGCTTCATCAAGCGCCGGACCTCGTCCTGCTGTTCCTTCCTCGGTGACTTCAGGCTTGGTTTTCACAAGCTTTCCAGACAAGGCCTGCGGTGGCTTACACAACTGGTCGGATAGACTGGTATATACGTACATGCTGAAGCCCATGTGTGCTGTTTCGGGTACTGTAATCAGAGGCTGCAAGGATTTAAAGCCAAAAGGCCATGGGGTGTCACCATACCGTCTTCACCAGTTGTTTTTTTCCGCAAGTCTGACTGCAACTTGAAGCCAACGATGGGGCAGGACTACTCATATTCTCACAGCATCCCGATTGCGCGACCCGGCTACAGCGCAAACTCTAGCATGGACCTGCTCCACCCAAACGGAGAACACCCAAAGCCACGCCCCTTCAAGAAATGTGAACCTTCACACCATACCCTTCACCCCGACACTTCTAAAATCTCGATCCTACTGGTGGCAAACAGAGACTGCAGCCCTGAGCTTGCTAGCCAACATTCTCATGCCAGGCAAAGCCCAGGAGCTAACACAACACGGCAAACTTTGCCTGGCCAAGTCTCATGGCTTTGTCGTACACTTCGGGTAGCAGCAGCTGTGGTGGAGCGCTTCGTCCGTGCGACTCTGGAACGACCACAGGGAAGAATTTGCTAGGATGAACGAAGTGGTACGTGGTGTTCCTGGCAGCAGGTCTGGAAGTTTCTCAAGCAATTGTGAGCTTCGCGTCTTTTATCGCAATTGCCTTCTTCCCTGCAGTGGCCTGTCCGAAACTGTCAACACCAAACATCTTGCATTGGCAAAACGAAACTGACAAACCGCCACACACACGAAACCGTTGTACAATTGGACAAGCTACGGCAATGCTTCCCTTTGCGCTTCGAGTTAGCCCTCCGGACATGACAGATCTAACGCCTCCAAAATGCAGACGAAAAGCCTCCATCTGGCTACATGATCTCTCTTGAAACACTGCACTGCCAGGCCAAGACTCTGCTCTTCCAGCGGCGTGCCCGCGCGGGAGGACAAGGTCTCCACCATCCCTGCCGTACCTGATGCTCGTTAAAGATGAGACATGCAAAACCACATGGCCATGATGTTCATGAATGTTCATGATGGAGTGCTGGACGACAAGTGATCGTCAACTTCAAAGTGAAACACATGGTGCTGATTACGTAATGACTCTGGTGGTAATTCCAATGCTGGAGCTGACGATGTTCATGATCACGAAGTATCGGGATGATGACAAATTATGACACGGAGAGCATGGGTGCTAGCATGAATATGGACGTGAGTATTGACCGGAGGGTGCCGCAGACGATGACGCCAGTCATGATGACGACGATAATGCTTGTGATGATGATGAGGACCGAGAGGATGATGATTGTGATAATGGTGATGCTGAGGATGGCGAAAGGGGCAGGCAGAGGGCGACAATGACGACCACCTGAAGCTCGTGAAGATTTGGAGATGAAGTTCAAAACGATAGTCGTAATGGTGACGCCACTGATGATGGCGCATGCATCCTCAGCTCTCGACGAAGACTAGCATCTGCTCAGGCGACTATAGAGCGGCTGTAGCTTTGCGACTGCTACCCTCGGCGTGTGGACTAACATGGCTCATGCTTCTTGGGCAACTCAAACCAACTGTGCCTGCATGTGACAGGCTTGGCTAAAGCCCTGCATTCAACGTCCCTTAAAAACTCAAGGCAAGGCACAGCACACTGGATGTGCCCAAACATCCACATACTCCTGCGGGATTACTGTCTTGGGTGTCGGGCTGAGCTTGCAGAAAGTACGACGAAGCTGATGTTGAGGGGAACTGGCCGAGAGTGAGAAGTCACGGTGGCATGTGATAGGTGTCACCCCTCGTGCAAGGGCCAGTTCTGCCAACCTAAGAGGACGACTCCTCTGTTGCTACAACAAGAGTGGTTGAAACCGCGACGTCATGCAAATCAGCAAAGGAACTAAGCCGATTAGGCCACACAACAAACAAACAAAGAACACCAGGTCAGTCCAGAGAGGTGGGCGGTGGCCCACTTGGAAGTTGAAACTCTTGAGGCTGTTCGTAACATCGGGCCGACTGGAGATCTATGGGTACATCGTGCCAAAACAAACATTCCCATGGATTCATGCATTCATTCATTCGTTCATTATGGCAGGTCTCTCAGTCGGCGTTGACACATGTCTGAGTAGAAGGCATCCTACGGCCTCAGTATATGCTCAAACTCCTTGCCTTGGAGCGGCAAGTCATGCAAACCGTTCGTATGCATGCATCCATACATACACAAGTGTGTCGTTACGTATGTACATACATACCGAACTACCTACTTACATACATAATTACCATACACGAACTCGGGCTGGATGTCAAGCAGAGTTCCAATATTTTTCCTCCGCAAATCCTAAGCCCTAGACAAAAACCCTGAGCTTTAGGGTTTGGGTTGAGGGTTTAGGGTTTAGATGAAGGGCAGCTCAACCATGCACAGGTGTAGAAGGCCCTGTAAACCACGCATGCAACTTGGCATGTTTACAAGGGTCCTGGAATCGGGCCATGCGGGAGTTTCCGAAAATTGGGGGGTTACCCTTTTTGGGGTCCTTATAACAAGGATCGTACTATTTAAGGTACTATATTAGGGTCCCCCTATCCTCTGAAACTGTCATACAGCTTCAGGCACACCCGCGAACGAAGGATTTTGAAAAAGCCGGGATTAGGGTTGAGGGTTTGGCGACGGTTTGCTTCCGAAAGGACAGCTTCCCGACAGTTGCTTGCAGTCTTATAGATTATAACTTATATAGTTTACGACAGCTTGCCCGAAACACCTCATCAAGCCTTCCTCAACATACAGGGCACAACATTTCTATGATTCGCATTCGCAAGTACTTGCTGCTCGTCAGCTCGAGCTTGCACGCCGAAGGCTGAAGCTTTGCTACGAAGCAGCTTACTCAATCTGGCCGTCGCGAATAATAGAGATGAACAGGCTTACACTACAGCGCGGGGACTGTCAACAGGACCAGAAGCCCCACACATCCCAAACTCCAACCCAAACGCCATCGTAGAAACCACACCCTGTACCTGAAGCCTGACATGATCCTGAAACACAAGCCTTGAACATTACGTTACGCACCACCAGAAACAACTCAAGAAACACGGCAGCCTTCTCCAGGGTCATCTGCGAGCCGTGGAGGACGGAAGCCATGTGCGAGTGCAGCACATTGTACGGCGCCAGCTGGATGCCTGCCATCGGGTCTACGGCACTTCGGATTCAGAATCTCAGGCTCGGGGTTTAGGATTCAGGTCTGTGGGTTTTGGATTTCCAGGCTTTTGGGGTCTGTATAACTAAGCAGTTCCTGGGTTAGAGGTCAGGCACCTGGGTTTTAGGCTACGGATGATCTAGTGCTTGGGAGGTAATTAGACTGTCTGGATACTATCAGTGCATCAAAACTTGCCAAGCACAGTGAATTGTCCTGTCTGAAAGGGTCATGCCGCCACATCCCTTGATGGTGGACAGTTCACACCACTTTAACTGGATCGCATACAGCTATCCCATAGTGATGTTGCGCACGGGAACGCAACGGTTTTGAAGCTCATATTGAATAGCCGCGACTTCTGCTGGGAAGCCTCGAGTGTCGCCCGTGATGATGGGCGGAATATGACCTTGGCTCGGATCTATATTGGCTTCGGGTTTGGGTACATTCATCGTATCCAGAAAAGCTTTCTTCAATTGTCCAAAACGACTGCATAGCAAACATATACCTGGATGCACATACAGTGAACATGAAAGCGAAGAGGCGAAGCTCAACCCACCTTCCACCTCTAGTTATCTGCTAGTCAAGTCGTCTACCTGTCTACCAGTCCGTGTGGAAACCAGGTATCACAGAACCAGTGGCTTCTCAGAGTTATCAGAAGCAAACGGCCGCTGGGACCTTGCCGTTGGCATCTGCATACCATCGGGAAGTGCTGCTGTATGCATGGCTGTTGGGGCTATTGCATACGCAGTTGTTTGGAAGTTCTTCTGCACCGGTGCGGCGCCTATGTTTTCTGACTAGCATGCGGCCAATCAGCCACACTATGCCATCCTCATCTTTTACTTCAAGAGGAATTACACCAAAACACCTGGACAGTTTACATGGTCTCTCTGGCTGCTGGCAAAGTGGCAATATACGTACGCGGAAGTGTCAATGCAGTTTTCCATCTTGTAGCAATGCGCTGCCACATGTACCTGGATGAGCGGGAACCCCGAAGCTCAGTCGCGGTGTCTGTGAAGAGCCCTCTTTCGCAACACTCATACCATATACTCGTTAGTCTAGACTCCAAGCGATAACCACAAACTGGGCGTCCAAACCTGAGTAGGTTAGACAGCCCGAAAAGACCAAAGGCGCGTCGGGTACATAATGCCTTTCGGAACCAAGCTCGACAATGCCTAAAATAGGCATGCCTCGCAGGAGCATTCTTCCACCGTCCAAGGAACTATTAAGCCCTGCATGTGCTTTATGCCCAGGTGCGTTGACCTTCTCGCAGTTGCTAGTGGTGCAGATGGTGGACACTCCGCCTAAGATCCTTAGTTGACACGCCGATAACCAGGTCACGGTGCCTCCGGTTCGACACGAGGTAGGAAACTAGAGAAACCGAAGCTTTTGTGACAAGGTTCTAAGTTAATTTAATGTTTTCCACTCCTGGATCGACAGCAAGCACTCCTTGAGGCTACCAGAAGTGATGAGCCCGGAAACCTCCCGCACCAAGCAAGGGTCCCCTACCTAGGGGAACCCGACACTCTAAATCGACATAACTCGATAACTTGGAGCTTTAAGCACGACGCCCCAAAATCAGAAAATGAGGCTCCAGAAGCATACACGTCGAATTGGCATCATAGACCCCGAGCCGCAAACCCTTCCCGTGGCGTGCGAAGACCAAAAGACCACGACTGGGTCCGAAACTCCCAACAAGCTGCATAGGGCTTATTCGCTTAGGGCGCCCTGTGGTTGAAGATTCAGCACTAAGGCTTCGGCGTTGAGCTTTCGGGGTCTGTTTTGTCAGTATTTCGTCAGTTTAAGCTTTCTCATACGCAACTGCACCAAGAAGCAGCGTGGTCCCCTCGCAACCAGAGATAAGGCAGTAGCGTAGTCGCGCTGTAACATAGATGGTGCTGTCTTTGCAGTCGGTGATGTTCAGATACTCGATCCTCAGTACCAGGTGCAGAGGAGACCTGAAACTGGACGACGACGATGACTACTACGACTTAATAAGAAGAAGAAGAAATAATAATAGTAGTAATAATAATAATAGGCTGCTGCTGCTGCTGCTGCTACTGCCTAAAACAAAGTATAAACGTCGTAGTTCAGCTAAGGGTAACTCGGAGATGTCGGGCTCCTTCCCGGATTGTCTTTGTCAGCAGTCGGTATCACATATATCTTGGAATGCAGCCCGCCGTAAACACTTAATGGAAGCCAGGGCACTCGGCATTGTGTGGCCGGTGAAACCAGATACTCTTGTGGATGTTACCTGAGCGATTGGTTTGGAGAGGTTGGAGCACCTAAAAACCCTCTTGACTTTCCGATGCAGCAGCTTCCGATGCGAACCGACTGGTGAGCTTCCAGCTCTGCGGCAGCCATATTCCAACAAAGCGAACAACACTAGCATTTTTGTCGTTTACATGATGGCAATGCACTCACATGCCAGATGAGGCACGTGGGCTGTATCCTCAAAATGCTTGATGCCAACATCAAAGCCCCAACAGAGCCTGCGTTTCCCAAACTCGAACTGGAACCGATTACACCTGGCTAAACCCTTTAGCAAGTGAACTCTCAAACCGCACGAACACAAGGCCTTCCCAAGCACCCCTTCTATCAGCCCTTTCGACCCACAGTAACCGCAAGATGTCGATGAATGGGTATCAACATCCATCAACCCCAAGCCCTCGACATAGAATGATTTTCGAGCTTTTCAGGACCCCTGAATGTGAGCCCTAATCGTGCCATGTAGACCCGGACAGGTCAAGTCACTTACTGTTACTTCTGTCACCCTAAATCCCAAACCCTTGCGCTGTCAGGCCACTGATGTTCAAGGTCTTGGCCCGAGGTTCCAGGCCATCCTTGGCAACCTTTCGGGTCTCAGCAGGGGTTCTGTCATGAAGATACTATGATAAGGGTTCTATGATACGGGTTGTCTCTTAAGGGTTCCATGATAAGGGTTATGAATAAGAGTTCTGCCATGAGGCCATAAGGGTTGTTTCTTGAGGGTTCCATGGTACGGGATTCATGATAGGCGTTCTTTACTTCATAGAGGTCTATAAGAGCAGGGTTACTTGAAGGAGTCTTACAAGGGCTCACTTCTTTCACAGGGTCGATGAAAGCTACTGACTACTGTAAGGGTTGCTATACGGGCCTGTGTAAAGGGGTCAGGAGGGCTTACCGCAGGGGGTTAGCAGCGGCCCTTCGTACAGGGATTTCGTTGTAGCCTCTTGGGTTTACAGAACCCGCTAGGAGCCTTATGAGTAGCAGAGTTTTGCAGCATGTTGCTGCGGCACTTGAAGATTCTTGGGCTCCAGGGCTAATCCGGCACAGTGGCACAGTGAGCCTTGTTGTACAACCTTGTTTTGGGGTCCTGCAAAGAAGTCTTATGGACTCCATACTTGCTCTGCAAGCCTCCATGGAGGTGTTGAGGTGTCTTAAAGACTTGTTTGCTAGGATTCCAGACCTCAGCTTTTAGGGTCCATGTCTGGGCGGGGATCAGAGGGTTTTGAAGTACCCGTTTGCATCTCAGCCTGCCATATCAATGGCACCCCAAGCGGACCCTTATTCGAGGCAAACCAAGTTTTCCATCAAGTCTAATGAGATACCTAGAAGTGGCAGCAATGGGTTTCGTCACTGACAGAGTAGTATTGCATCGCGAGGGGTAGAATAACAGTACTCGCCATGACCATGGAAAGCCATCGTCGAAACCTTTTTTTCAGGTTTTAACCCGCAAATCATGCGAAATTAAGAACTGCGGCCTCGGTGGTGTATGCGTCTTCGTTCCAGCAGAGGAGCTTGAGCCTGGGATTGTCAAGACCTATCTGACCCGGGCGAGATATGGGAGAACACCAGGGCACCTCAACATATGCTTTTTTAGGGGCTTTGCTGGCTAACAAGCCCATTGCAAGGTTTTCGTGGTGTGCCACTCGGGAAGGACACCCCCCGCCCCCAAATGCATCTGCTCGCTTCTCAAAAACAGCCCACAAGACCCTGATAAGACCCTTTTCGCACCCAACAACCCCTCCAAAACCGCCTACAAAACCCCGATAAACATGTATACATACCTTCTTAAACACCTATAGGGGAACCCGTATTGATGGCATATGGTTTTCGGAAATATAAGATGGCACAGGGGGGGCGCTCAATGCATGCATTTCGGCAACCTCCTCCAAACCCTCACACCGGCAGAAAAGATGGCATCCAATCGCAACGATTTTCGGAACCTCCAGTGGACCTTCCAACCGGCAGCAAAAGATGGCATACAAACACAATATATACATTACATATTTCTCTCTCGATGCATGGCGACTCCTTTCGATGCATGGCGACTCGACCTTTGCTCCAAGCCTGGCATTGTCCAAGATCAGAATGCACTACATGTATGAGCCTTCGTTGTTTCGTGCGGGTTTTGTAGTTGCGATGTGTGATAGTGTGCCCCCGTCCAGGACCAACCATTGGGGCATGACGATGCTATGCAGAGCGAGGCAAGCAGGAGCTTCGCACGGTCTCTCTGCACGTGGTGTGCCATCTTACCTGCCCATGCTTGCGAGCCGGGCAATGGGAACGAGAACAAGGCCGGGGATACTGAAAACCGCACGGTGCATTCGTTGCTTCGTGCGGGTTTTGCTGTTGCTATGTGTGATAGTATGCCCCCGTCCAGGACCAACCATTGAGGCATGACGATGCTATGCAGAGTGAGGCAAGCAGGAGTTCGCACCGTCTCTCTGCACGTGGTGTGCCATCTTACCTGCCCAGGCTTGCGAGCCGGGCAATGGGAACGAGAACAAGGCCGGGCATGACTGAAAACCGCACGGTGCATGCGTTGCTTCGTGCGGGTTTTGCTGTTGCTATGTGTGATGGTATGCCGGCGTGACGGTTCATGCAGAGCGAGGCAAACAGGAGCTTCGCACGGTCTCTCTGCACGTGGTGTGCCATCTTACCTGCCCAGGCTTGCGAGCCGGGCAATGGGAACGAGAACAAGGCCGGGCATGACTGAAAACCGCACGGTGCATGCGTTGCTTCGTGCGGGTTTTGCTGTTGCTATGTGTGATAGTATGCCCCCGTCCAGGACCAACCATTGGGGCATGACGATGCTATGCAGAGCGAGGCAAGCAGGAGTTTCGCACCGTCTTTGCACGTGGTGTGCCATCTTACCTGCCCAGGCTTGCGAGCCGGGCAATAGGAACGAGAACAAGACCGGGGATGACTGAGAACAGCACGGTGCATTCGTTGCTTCGTGCGGGTTTTGCTGTTGCTATGTGTGATAGTATGCCCCCGTCCAGGACCAACCATTGGGGCATGACGATGCTATGCAGAGTGAGGCAAGCAGGAGCTTCGCACCGTCTCTCTGCACGTGGTGTGCCATCTTACCTGCCCAGGCTTGCGAGCCGGGCAATGGGAACGAGAACAAGGCCGGGCATGACTGAAAACCGCACGGTGCATGCGTTGCTTCGTGCGGGTTTTGCTGTTGCTATGTGTGATAGTATGCCCCCGTCCAGGACCAACCATTGGGGCATGACGATGCTATGCAGAGTGAGGCAAGCAGGAGCTTCGCACCGTCTCTCTGCACGTGGTGTGCCATCTTACCTGCCCAGGCTTGCGAGCCGGGCAATGGGAACGAGAACAAGGCCGGGAATGACTGAAAACCGCACGGTCCATGAAAACATCGGTTCGTGTTGTGTGCTACTACTGTGCACACAGGCGTCTGCAGATGGTCTGAGCATCCAGCTCCATCCCGACAGGAGAGATGCCAGCTGAGAGATGTATGCACGAAAGAAGTCTGAGCCAAGCGGCCGTGTGTGCCATCTATTTTCGCGGCCTATGGCCACTGGGCCAATCAATCCCTCGACGATTCTATCTGGTTTCGAATTTTCGTATGCCATCTATTGGACCAGTAATTCTACGGAATTCGGATGCAAGCTTAGAGTCCCCTTTGCGACCATTAAGATGGCTTTCGGTCGTGTTTTTCCCGAGCCATCTTTTCGGGGACTCCTATAACGGCCTGATAAAACCCCGATAAAACCTTGTTGAAGTCTGCCAAGGATGCAAAGCTTTCCGCAACTCGGAAGCTGACATGGAAGGCCTGTTTGGGGTTTTGGGCATTAAGGTAAATAGAGTTTCGGTGCTCACACCAGGACACTCCAGGCGAGGCATGTGGCCATGAGATGACTTTCTGTCTTGATGTGAAACTAACATCGCGCCAGCGCAGGATGTCGCCAGTCGCACGGAATCCGCCAAGGCATTAAGGTTTGGTGTGTGAGGGGTTTCCAGTAGGGCTTTCGGGGACTAGGCCCTGAGGCACTTCGGGTTTAGAGCTTGTGACAAGGCGCAGAAGCTTGGTGACAAGCTTTCGGTTCTAAGTTCTCGCTGAGGGACAGGTCGAGGTTTTGGGGTCCTAAGGGGGGGGAGCAACTCTCAAGAAGCATGGTTCAATGGGGGGCGGGGGCAAACTTCTGTAAGAGTGGAGTCCCGTTACATTCAGAAACTCCCATTCCGCCATGCACCCGCATTGAAAGACAGTTCAAGTTCCGATTTCTTTCAGGTGCCTGTGCCGGCTCAGGATTGACCACTTTTTCAGCACAGGCTGAGGTGCCAGCCAGCGCCTATGGAACTCTCAGGATTGACAGCTAAACCCTAAACCCCTACGGCCTATATCCCAAAAGCACTGTTTGCATCAGGACTTGCGCAATCGCCTGAATGGCGAATCCCTTTTACACAGGCTTGACTCGAGCTCGCCCGGCCTGGTTCTCCGAAGCACATCGCACTCTTGGCGACGTGCGCAAGGCTACGTGCGCACAATCCTCTTTATCTTACGAGCTAATCTGTCGGAAACCGTGAACCCCTTTTTTGCATCCAAACCGTGAATCCCTAAACCCCTTAACCCTACCCGGTATCAGGACTTGCCCTGCACTTCGGATACCCTGGCCTCTAATTATGGACCCCAAAACCCCCAAAATCTCTAAACTTCGGAGCCTTAAACGACTATGAGACTATGATTCCAAAACACCTTTTGCAATTGGCCTGCTGCGACTCCGCCAGGCCGAACAGCCACAATCCCCTTTTTGGCAGCCAGATCTCCTCCGAACCCCAAACCCGAAACCACCAGAAACTCTAAACTCTCTAAACTCTAAACCCCTAAAAACACCCGAAACCGTAAACCACTGTAAAATCCCCAGGAGCCCTACTTACTGTAGAAGCGCAACCCGAAGAGCTTCCCACATCCCCAGGCCTCGAAGCGAGATCTGGCACAGCCTCGGAGAGACGGAACCTGGTTCTGCAGGACACGGGTTTTCTTCGTTTCGGGGTTTTAGGGATTTGGGGGTTTAAAGCTTTAGGGGTTTATAGGGTTTGGGGTTTACGGGTCTTGACTCGCACACTCGCTCAATGCAGGCACGGCTTCAAGAGGTCCCATTGCTACCGTTTAGGGGTTTAGGGTTTAGGGGCTTTCAGCACTCACGCTCGGACTTGTCTAAGCGAGGTTCTTGGTCACGGGTGAAACACTCCCTTCCAAACAGTGCTTCGACCATTCAAGACACAGGTGGAGTTAGGCGAGGGCACAAGGCTAGGGTTTCAGGCTTTCGGGTGTAGGGATGTAGGGGCTGAGGGTTTGGAAGGCTCCCCCCATGCGTGATTGTAAGCAAACAGACCAACTCAGCACAAGTAAAGTCATAACAGCTCAAGGGCCCCTCCCACTAAGAACCCAGAGTCTGGATCCGTCTCGGAACCAGTCGGGCTTTCGACTTTAGTCCCTTGTGACGCCATGCGGCAAAGGCTGGGACTTTGAGCTACCACAGCAGAGGATCAAGCCAAGGATGTCAAAGTCCTCAACCTTCGGACTTGAGTTTCGGGCTCAGAACGAGGAATGCTCAGCAACTTACGAGCTCTTGTTGCCCCGTGTTCTCTCCCTCCCTGTCTCTCCCTCTATGTGCGCTCTCGCAAACGCAAGGGCACGTTATGGAGGGCTAGAATCGTGTTCAGCACTTAAACTAGCACATATCGACAAAGCCCGATGTCTGGTCGACACCAAACACATTCACAATGGCAAGGACCCGAAGGATTCAGCAAGGTGGTCTGGCTGCATCTTTTTTCATTCCGATCACACATGTAAAGAGGGGCTAAACCTGTAGGACGCTCGTGGACTCCAACGGATCGCCCTTACCAGTAGCCCGGAACAAGAACTGCAGAAACGGAGCAAATATGACCTCCCCTGCAGGACTGGGGTCTGAGTCTCCGGAGATCACCCGGGTGCAAAGAAAACCGAAGAGTTTCAAGGGCACTGCCCCCGACAACTGCATCAAGGGCGCGCTGATGTTGGCGGGCTCGGACTGGAGGGTCAAGCTCGCAATCTGCATCCACAGACTCAAGTGGGTTTTCACGAAGCTCCTTGGAGTCACGCGGCTCTGAACTCACGAACCCTCCCTTGGAGCTGCGGGGATAGATGTTCATTGGAGGCCTTGGGACAAGCGAACAAAGACGGTTACCTGCATTCAGACACTCACAAGATATTGAACATCTCTGCACGACCAGCTGGGGCTTAAGGCTGCAAGCTTAAGGTGGCTTCACTCAAACAAGCCCAACCTTTCAACACCCGGAATTCCTCCGACGGGCAATCTTGCTGCTGGGAGTCAGCAACGACTGTGTAAAATCGGCACCCCGTCCCAACGACGGAGCGTGGATCATGGACCTTATGCGGGCTTGCTCGGAGGTCTCAGCCCAGTGATTCGAATCCAGACCCCTCCGTTTAATTTACATGACCGCAATATTCAGGGTTTAGGATATATTAAGGAATGCTACGATGACCGAAGGAACGATGCCGTATGAAGGGCTTGTGACAGTCAAGTTTCTCGTCGACCCTAGCGCCTAGGGTTCCTCACATAGTTATACACCATCGTCCGCCCCAGCCCTGTTAACAGTAGAACATGTTAACATACCAAATATTGGGGATGCTCCTTCTTCGCGCTTCTCCAACGTACGCATGGCCCCTCAACGAAATGCATGTAACATCGGGTGCTGCCTCTCCTAGGGTTCGGAATATATCCAAGGGTTCATAAGGAGTGGAGATAAGCATAGACTTTTCGGGTGAAATTTTCGCGGACTGATCGTTTTAACGAATTCTCCCTATAGGGTTCCAGCTAGCTAAATAGGAGCTTGATAGGGTACATAATATATGGTTAGTCACCTACTATTCAGGTTTCAGCTTGCCAGCCATCCCCGGCAAGCCCGGCTGACCTACGCCCTGTGCAAAGCTGTGGCACTCCCCCCCCCCCCCCCCCCGCCACCACCACAGCCTTAAACAACACAAAAAATACCCATCTCAATGACAAGCATGTTTGTTGAAAATTTGGGTTCGAAGCTTTGGTCGTCCAATGCTTACAGCCAAGGGCCAAATGCTGCCGTCAACTGTAGGTGGGTGCTAATAGTTCTGTTTAAAGGGATATCTCATCTCAAACGTTCTCGCCTCATCCTTCCAATCCGAAGCCCATGTCGCCTCAAACTAAACTTTGTATCAGTGAGGCCCGCAAGGGCTCGAGAGGAAGCCCCGGCACTGCCTCAAATGCTACCGGGCCCGGCCCTTCCAGATTTGCAGCCCTTCACCCCTCCCATATCGACCTCTACCGCCTCTACCCTTTAAGAACATCACGGTCATTGTAATTTTGCTGTACTGCGGCTAGCCTCATTGCCTGTCTCAGTTCATTGAATCCTTATCACTAACAGACTAATTGGAGGGCTGCAGTGCGCATGCCATGATGTCAATATAGCCGCAAGTCGCCAATTCCGCAATCCCTGAAGCCAAAAGCCTCCAGCCCTAAATGAACAATCCGCACAATGCCCTACAACCCTTACTATGAACCAAATAAACCATCTGAAGCTCTATGCAACACTTACTCTACACTAGTCCTTCTAATCCCTATGAACCCGGTGTGCCCTGCTCCGGTCCAGGCCCAAGGGCGGTTTCTGTGAACCTCTCGGAGAAGATCGCGGAGAAAGGTGCCCCGGCGCCCGCTCATTCCACACCTGTTGAAGCTTCGGGTCTAAACTCTAAACTGAACTCCGACTCCTAAACATCCTCCCTGAAAAAAGCTGATCGCGAATCTTTGCAGCACATCCAGAACTTTGAATGTGTCGTTCGGTGTACAAACGAAGACTCAACGCATGTCTTGGTTTGAAGTCATCGACAACTGACACTCAGGTCGCTTGACCCGAGACCCCACATGGTACAGCAAACTGTAAATAGCAACCGAGACCGCCCACCCGGGCCTCACTTTTGCTGGCATCGGTCTTGGCACGGTTGGTGCCTGGTATGACAATGATACCGATGGTGCAAGGCGAAGGAGGACAAGCGACACCCTCGAACGGAATCCAGGCTGGTGGATGTGCACTCGGAGCCCCACCGAAATCTAAAAAGGTGACCGCATGTGGTTTCCGAGCACTGACACCTGATACACCACCTCAAGTAGCTTTCAGAAACTTTGGCAACGCTAAAGGTGCTCAAATCCCCATTCCGAAAGCTCGGACCGCACCCTCTGGAGGCAGCCGAATCTCTAAAGATCTGACAGCTCAGAAGGAGGCCGATGAATCCTTGCAGAGCGCTTAAAGCGAGGAACCGAAGGATCACAGGGTGCACCAGCCCAAACCAAATAATCTCAGCCAGTAAACTGGAAGTGGAAGGTTCAGGCTTGAGCGAGAGGCCTTACCGCGACCGAAGGAAGTAGGTTTCCGGCTTCATTCCCTTTGCGACAGGCTTGCTGGGTTCACGCTGCGAAATGATGTGATATGCACACTCAGCCTTTTCTACACAATCTTGATTGGAGCTCGCCGGGCCACGCTCAGCCTGAACCCTAAACCCTACACTCCTACGCCCTTAAACCCTGAACCCTCAAACCCTAAACCCCTTTTTGCAGCAGGCCTCGTTGTCCAACCCCTAAACCCTAAACGCCCCAAACACCCGAAACTGCAAGCTTCTGGCGCAGAGCGTAAAAGCCAAGTTGGAGGCCGAAGGCATGGAGCACGGAGGCTCTGAAGCATAATTCAGAAAGTACAATGTAGAACATGCCAAAGATGTAACAATATGTAAGGTGAAGCGATAAAGAACCATATGATACAATACAAGATATAGCACAACATAGTGCAAGAGAGGATAGCACAATATAACAAAATACAATACAGTATGATACAATAGAAGATACTAAGATAAGATGAACAACTTAATGTGTTGTGATATAGTAAATTTGGATACATAAGATAAGACAATGTGGCAGAATGGAATATGAAAAAAGTAAGTGATAACATCGCATGGTATACTGTAGTAATAACCCAAGCTAGTAGAAGATGATGGAAGCTCAGATATCTCAATACCACAGGACATGATGGAACAGGATTTCATACAATGTAGTGTCAACTGAGATAATGTATTGTGTGCTGATGCACCAGGGGTCTGGGTCTGGCTTGTGGGTTTTGAAGCGCTCGGGGCACATCAGAGCCCTACTTGGGAATGTCGCCTGGACGGCATGGCAAACGTCCCCAGTAATCAACAGATAGAAAGTGATAGCGCATTAAGAAGAGGTTACAACAGCGTACAGAAGGAAATATAATGGAACATGAAGCGAACTAGTACAACCTAAAAACATGATATAATATACAGTGATATACACATCACTTAACATAACCGACAAGAACACTTGGAATATGATTTAAACTTAAACGACATAACATATGATATCATACATCATCATGTAACATGATGTGCTACAATACGTATATAATACGTATATCGTAGAATCAAGTACTCTAAGTCCTGTTATGATACACCAGATGATATTATATTGGAACTTATGATACCACATAATTTAACAGTAACATAACATACAACAACCAGACATAGCAGACTATAGGGAATCCAGTAATTATAATACAGTACAAAAGAGCTGAAACACATCACGCTCCAGTTTTTATTGTTATATAGTACACAACACCCTACAATGTAAATCATCAATGTAAATCATATATTTTGTTCTAATGACTTTAATGTACTGTGCTATAATAGCAAAACAGAAAACACCATAACATTTCATATTATACTCTAGTGTAACGTACTACACTATACTATATTATAATGAAATATCACATGCTCCACTTTAACAAAATGTAGCATAATACAGTTTGCTATGACGCAATCCATATGAAACCCATGACATGTAACATATTGGTCCCCCAAGCCCAAGCCATTTGGAGCCTACGAAATGGGAGCTTCAGACCCAGAAAACTGGATAATTTGGAAGATCAGGTGTAGTTCTGCACGTCGTGCCCACCAAGGCATCGACAACCCTATCTACATAATGACACCTCGTGTAATCGTCCCATTTTACCCCAGCTTCACTCCGCTCCTTCTGCTGCCGCAACCCCTTAGCCAGGTACCTGTGTCTCAGCTCTGAGCCCAGAACCATAAGTCCACAGAATAGGTGTCTCCGATCTCAGTTCAACAGCAAAACAGAAAGCCCTCAAAATCGGACACTCCAGACCCGAAAGCTCCAGACTCTGGGAAGTCTGAGCTTCGAATATCCATGGCATCACCTGGGTCTCCGAAGATGGACTGCTGAAGCACACTGAAGACGGTCCTTGAATCGGATCGGTTTCGGCCGCAGCTTCAGATACGGGCATATGCATGCGCAGGGGAAAATTCTGAGTCGCAATGGAAGGCGATTCCTATAACCATCTCGCAACCTTGAAATAATAAGACTTTGTTGCTACAACGCTAACTAAAGGCTTTGCAACTACTTTTTGCTCCACATCGGTAACACAATCTGGAACAGCACTAGTAGCTACCAGCTACCGTGGGATGCAATCGCGACCGTTACCAAATTACCTGCATACTCTTCCAGTGACCCATTGGAGGGAGTGCACAATCTTTAATACTCTCATCTTGGGGTGCGCGGGGTTGGGGGGGGGGGGGGGGGGGTGATGCCAGGGGTGGGGGGGGGGGTTCGGCGAACCGAGAACCGGGATCATATACATGTATATACATGTAGATGTATAGCTGTATATCTGTACTTAATTAATCAGAACCATGTCCATACCTTGATCTATATCTATACCTACCTATATGTATATGTACATATGCAAAACATATATTTATATTTGAAGCCCGACGAAGACTAGAGTCCACCGGCTTCGATGGGTTGTGGTCTGGGTCCGCACACGCCCCCTGACCGAATTGAAATCAACGCCAAAGGCAAAATAGTGCCAGCACCGGACAATACCTCATCCAATCCCTGTCTTCTTGACGTCTGCATAATCTCTGCTATAACGGACCTCCAAGCCGTGATGATTCGAAGTAACAAAGCCCCTTATAGTAAGATCCTTCATGTAAGGACACCTGAACAAGGCACTCACTGCGGGCCTTGGCAACAACGAAATGCCACTAACACCTCATCCCTCCAGTTGCTGCTGTAGCGGAGGCAAGTGGCTGAAGACTTTGTTGGCTAATTTGTTCGACTTGCATGCTGAATCTTAGAAGGGCCAGTCCAAGACCTGCAAACCTCTTCGGTCTGTTATATTCTGTTAAACTCTTATATACGGTTTAATGTTCACAAGCTTTGTATACTGTGGCATTAAACAGACCATGACATATATATATATATATATATATATATATATATATATACAAATAAATATACACTGCATACATCACACTTACATAAATTCACATACACATACACATACATACATACTTACATACATATATACATACATACATACATACATACGTACATATGCGTGTTATATCTATATGTAAAATACACATGTACATATACACATGTACAGGTACACGCTGGTAGAGAAGATCTCTTCGGCCGAAGCTCCAGTAGGCCGAAGCCTCCGGCTCTGTCAGCGCGGGCTTGCACTTCGTGGTGCTCAGGTCCTGGGGTTTATAGAGTTTTAAGGTTTTGGGGTTTATAATGGTTTTGGGTGTTTAAGGGGTTTAGGGAGTTTTTTAGGGATCTAGGGTGAAGGGGTTTGGGGATGCTTTTGCTCCTACTTAGTGTTTAGGCATTTAGGGCTTAGGTTTTCCATTTCCGTTCACAAAGGTTTTGGGTTTCGGGTTTGGGGTTAGTGTTTCGTTCCAGGCCCTTTTTCTCAACAGGAGCCCACTTGAGTGTTCGAGGTCCGAGGCTCGCGTCTATGGCGTTTGGGACCTGCAAGGCGTCACAATAGAGGTCTACAGCACTTCTAAAGCTGAGCAGACGAGATTAGACTGTCCAGCGCCCCAAGACAAAGCACCGCAGAGCCAAACCGCGGTCTTGGAAAGGCCGTTCAGTTTAGCTCCAATGCTGCTGTACAACTACTCTAGCAACTAGCATGAACAACCAAAGAAGCAAAACATGGAGCCATATGTTGACAGCAGGACTCTGAAGTATAAGCTTTCACATGCACCAGCTCCATGAACTGGCAACCGGCATGACGACTGGCCCAGAACCCAATCTTCACGGCACCAGCACTCCCTGACTGATCCCCGAGCCCTGAATCTGGGTGTGAATGAGTGCAATGGCTACAGCACTGTTCGGCACTGGCATGCATTAGCCAGAAGAGCCTCATCGACGGAGGTAGCTCAGCCTTCGCAACACCCAGCCCAGCCAAAACCCCCAGTGTCAACACCTGAACTCCTCAACTGAAACCCTAATTGATTTGCTGACGGTAATCACCAGAAGCCTCTTTCCGGAGACGACAAAGGTACCTTCAACCAAATTAACCGCAGAGCGTCCAACCATGCCTCTTTGGACAAGTTCGTCACTGAGATATGGCCCTTCCTCGGCTGGCGGTTTTCGAATTTGTGAAAGCCCCTCGAATATCTACTAAAAACCAGGAGTCCAGGCAGGCAAGGAGGCCGTACGTCTGTTGAAAGCCTAGCTGTCTTGAAGAGTTCGACAAGCAGACAGCGAGACACAGAGAGATAGAAAGAGAGCTGGAGCTAAGACAGCTCCATGCAGAACTCTCAAGTTGAGAACGACGAATCCAAAGGCTCGCAAGGAGAGTATAGTACAAACCCAAGACGTCCAAGAGCCAACAACAACAAGCCGATCGCTTCCACTGCTCTTGCCGAGGATACAACTCGACTCAGTTCAGTTACTCCTAGGCCAAGCACCATTTCTTCCTGGAGCCGAGTTGCAACGTCGAGAGAAAGTTGAGCACCTGTCTCTGCGAGTGCTACAGTGCGTGTGGAAGGAGATGCTCATAACAACGGAAACCAGGGTGACGTGCTCCTGCTTAGATGAAGACGGAAAACTGATCACGATGTTGCCTAGTGTAATCTTGATGTCGATGACGATTCCGTTGTAAGAATATGGTGGGAGTGGTGGCAACTGTGATGGTCAACCGGCTGGCCGAGAAAATGCCGAAGGTGAATAGGAACTGAAAGCGACAACAAATGAGAACCAACACGTTGCAACACAAGACCAAGATTGTCTACGTGGCCGTGAAAGGCGGGGCTCCGAATTGCTTCCGACAGCAGCAGCAACAGCAAATGGGATGACAAGGAGATGGTGGTTGAGACGCAAGAGAAGATCCGACATGATGCTTGAATAGACCATGACAGTTTCGGCGTTGCTGAAATCACGTGCTGGAAGCCTCAGCCCTGGTGAAGACATTGATGGCGGCAATGCTGCCAGCGATGATGATACGGGGGTTTCCGAAAATAGGGGACCCAAATATACTACCCCAAATAGTAGGATCCTTATTCTGAAGACCCCAAAATTAGGTACCCCTATTTTCGGAAACTCCCATACATTGTTCAGTCATCACTCTCGTGGCGGCCATGGTGCTGCCCTCCACGATGTGCGATGATGACTGGGCCTATGAAGATGATGAACATGACTGACCAGTGGTTTTGGGGTTCCCTTGGCTCTTTAGCTCCCTATTTAATAGCGATTGTCATCATCCCTGGCTCCTTAGCTCCTCCGATATCAATGGTTAGATGATGGTGGCTGATGCAATGATGCCTCAGGAGATGGATGCAAGTGAGAATTTCCGAGGCGGTGGCGCTGCTGCTAAGTTTCATCAAACCAGGCAGGTCGTGAGCTAGCTAAATCCACCGGGAAATCTGCCAGAAACCTCGCAGCCCCAAAACCACCTGACCTGGCATCGAAACACCTTGTCATCTGAAGCAGCCGTGCCTTAGACGCCGACCAGCGGATAGAGGTATTGAAGACACCATGGTCGAACACCTCCTGAGCCGTGGCTGTTGCAACGCATATTCTATGATTCTATGTCTGGGGACGGGGTTGTTATTGACATCTTCCGCTGACTCCCTCGAGCCGGTTTCGACAATACCAAACTAGCTCAGCAACCTGGTGGAAGATGCTTATGACTCCTGAACCTGAGCTAATGTGCAAACCAGAGAGAAGTGCAGGACTCCCCCGCTTTTGCACGCAGAAAGAAAAGCGGACGCATGTTTGCGACGGAGCTTGGGAACTGCTTCGGGATAAACTCGTCAAGAAGTTGTCATGGGCTTGAGGGAGGTCTTCCAGCAGCAGCGGCTCAAGCATTCTGGCGAAAGGATGTGAAGACGTTGCTGAACTTGCGGGGACACAGGGTACGAACGAAGCTCCACACGATTCTGGCTCCGATCACTTCTCCAACTTGCATGCCAGAGAATCCTGAATCCTCCCGCTTTAACTGCAGATTGAGGATCACTCCGCACCCAAACAATGCGGTTCATGGCACAAGCAGGAGCCACTTAAGAGTGTGCAAGGTTTAGTCTGTGATGACAGCAGTCGAAGAGGGCTACAGGCTGAAAGCAGCAGTCTTGCAGAATGCCGTTAGCTCTGAAGCAGGCCCTAGCCGCTGTACCTCTGGTAAGACCTGGTCAGAGGCAATCCTAGCATCCAGCCCGAAGCCTCTCCAGAAGCCGCCCCGAGCCCCACACACAGGGTGAAATCAAACCTGTTGCGCCGCCCTTGGCGCTTGAGCCGGAGTCGTGCGTGTTTGTTCGATCCCGAGAACTCTTTTTGGAGCTTCTGGCTGGACGTCTTTCTGCTAAAGAACCTGGACAATGTCGCGACTGCCAACACTGAGTTATTTGGCGAAGATTGGACGCTCCAGCAATCTTCCTTCACCCTGCGAGACACGGACAACATGCTGAACAACATCACAAGGCACCCCCTAGAGCCCTAAAACAGAAGAAGAGTTGCCAAATTCCAGTCACCCCCGAAGATCGGGGTTTGTACTGGGACAAAGGGTCAGGGCACACATTTATCCGGATAAATCTCTGGGGGCCTGAGGTTCTGGGGGAGGGAACTGCAAATAAAACTCTAGGCCTAACCCTTTAGCGCAGGCAATCGTCGACCCAAATATGTTTGTCAAAATCGCACAACATGTACACGGACATGGCTTGGATAAAACCCTCGGGCCCAACCCCGAGAAGCAGTGCACGGCTGGAGACTTGACTGATTTAGGGGGCTAAGGATAAAAGCCTAGGGCCCTAAGACATGCTCAAGAGGGCTCGCCGCAAAACGTTCTGCCATACAGAGTTTTATTTAGCCTAGCCCGCCGAAAACCTTGCGAACATAGCAATGTATCTTGGCTAGACCCTCGACCCCCCAGCATCTAGGATAAAAGCCAGCTGGCCAGACCCCGGCCCTCGGAATCCGCACCACCTGAGCCTACCTGGGGTTTTATCCGGGCCACTGGCCAGGCCAAGGGCTGGCTGGGATATCTAAAGCCACACAGACTCTTAGGAACAAAGTCCGCCCCGTTTCCCACAGAGAAGCACCAGAATCACCCGAGCCCCTAGGATAAAACCCTTCCGACCCAACCCCCGAACCCTGCAAACCCGACCTGGGTCAGAATAGCACATGATTCACATGGCAACCCATACCTCTCTCTGGTTCTCTGCTTAAAGAGCGACATGCCGTGATTTATGTGATTTGGTGCAGGCTGCAATCTAGGCTGCTGCATGCCTGCGGGACTCGGGAACAAGCTTCTAGGCCACACGCACAGCAGCAATGTTTACAATGATTCTTTCTGTTCCTTCAAATCAAGCAAGCATCGCCTGGATAAAACTCTAGGACCCGACCTTCCAGGAGGCCTTGAAGCATCAACAAAAAACCCAGCCCAAGATCACAACCCCTGGCCCAGATAAAACTCTGGGGCTTAACCCCGCGGCACGAGCAGCAGGAAGCTGGATAAAGATAAAGTTTGCGGCTTGACCCCTGGGGTTTCATCTGGGCAGTACAGACCCCGATCCCGAAGCGTTAGACGGGCCCGTGCCGCCGCAGCCCAACACGTCGGAGCAAATTCAAGAGACAGCAGTGCATGACTGCACAACACCAGTCCAGAAACAGCTCCAGAGAAACAGCGCTACACCCGCGCATCGCCCCTAGAGGCAACCCATGACACGAAGACATCCTGAAATCCCACCTTCCAACCGGGGTGCTTTGTACGATGGTGGTCGAGACTGTGACCGAAGACACACCGCAGGGGCATCAATGGCTGGAACAGGCTTCGGGGATGTTCCGGGCGTTGATGTACTATACTTGACAGGCTTCGAAGGACTAGCGTTGCCTTAGACCGGAAACCCTGAACCGTTGCTAATGCTCGCTGACATGCCCTCGGCAGCTCTCCGAGGGCTCTGCTTGATGTCTTCGACAAGGCGGAAGTCGCCCTTCATCATCGCCTGGATTCTGCAAGGAGTGGTCGCAACTCGCAAAAAGAAGCAGGAAGAGCCATAGCAGTAGTCGGAAGAGCAGCATCAGTCACAGTGGAGAAGCACCATCAGTCACAGCAGAAGAAGTCGTGGAATATCAAGTAGAAGTAGCAGACTCCCTTCCGTTCGCCGCAGTTGTAGTAGCAGTGATGGCAGTAGCACTAGTATTCAGTAGTGGTGGTAGTAGTAGTAGTAGTAGTAGTAGTGGTAGTGGTAGTGATAGTAGTACCAGTAGTTGTTGTTGTTGTGGTGCTGGCGGCGTCGGCGTCGGTGTCGAACCAAACCTTGCAATCCTTCCATCATCACAAGCATTCCCCGAAACTTCTTCGATCACATCGCGGTGACCCCCACATCGGCCGGGTCACGTTTTGCGACAGCCGCACCTCAGCTTTGAGATGCCGTCAGCACTATTCACTGCGGCGCAGGGGGAAGCTTGTGTGCGAGGCTTAACATACCGGGGCCCTATTCCAAGTCCACCCAGAAGGTTTGATGCTTCTCTTCAAGCTCAGATCTTAAGAAGAGCGCCGAACGACCCGAACTCAAAGCACTGCAAGCCAACGCCGTGAAAGCACAAAGCCACGACTAAACCCCCCCCCCCCTCCCATGCTGCCCTCCTGAAAGTCCAAAACTCTGAAGCTAAGGTTCCCAAAGCCTTCATGCCCTAAACCCTGCAACTCTCCCGCAAAACCCGCAACCCCGAAGCCCCTGAACCCGGAGCAAATAGCCGGGTGGCATCGTAGCGTGTCACGGGGCCCTCGCCAAAGGTATCGGGGACCTCACTCAGATGGCACTTTGTGCTGAGCTGGGTTTAGGCTAAGTTATTAGGATTCAGGATTAGTTCAGGGCTTTGGGATTTTGGGGGCTTCGATTTGGGATTCGGAGAACTGTATCCTCGCTTCCTTTTCGCCGGCTCGGGGGAGGTCACTGCGGTGAGGGACTTCGAAACTTCAGCGGAATCTGAAGCGCGTGAAAGCCCAGAATGATGCTTTAACGCCCTCGGCCCGAAAAACCCTAAACCCTTGACTTTCAACCGTTCGGAATCCGTTCGGAGGCGTCCAGAAACCCGTTCGGAACGCGTTCGGGACCCGTCCGGAACTGTTCGGAACCCGTTCGGAACCCCCTTTTAAAACCCCAAACGGTTGAAAACCCCGCAAGATCTCAAAACTACACCACACCCAAGCACCAAGCGTGGGCTAGTTCGAGGCTGCGTCTGCGGCTTTGGGGTTTTGTGCTCCAGGGTTTAGCGCTTCGCGGGGCTCTAGGGATCTGGTGCTTGGGTTTGGGGGTTTAGGGTTTAGGGCTTTAGGGATCTGGTGCTCCATGGTTTAGGGCTTCGGGTTTGGGTTTATAACACTTTCGAGGCTAGAGCATCCTGATCTGCGGCTGCCGGCTCTGGGTTTTTAGGGCATCAGGTTTGATTTCACAGGGCTCCATGACTGCGGGTCTGACTGAGTTAGAGGACTGAGGAGATGAGGATCGTCTTCAGGGTTTAGGGTTTTCGGTTTTAGGGGCCTAACCCTAAACCCGAAACCCTAAAACTCTTGGACTGCTGGCCTTTTTCAGAGACGTCTCGAGGCCATTGGATCCGAAATCACAATCAGACGCTGAGAGGGCTGACAAGGATAAGGGGTTGCGGATTAAGGTGGGGCTCTGTAAAGGCTGATTGATTTCTTAGGTATGGTCTATTTTTAGTTAGAGGGCTTAACAACAAAATCTACTAGGATACTTGTGATGAGAAGCCCCTAACCCTAAACCCCTAAACACTTAAACCCTGAACCCCAAACCTCTGAACCATAACCCCCTTAACACTGACCATCCCAAACCCCAAACCCTAATCCCCAAACCCTTTTTACACCTGGATGCATAGAACCCTAAACCCTAAACCCTCCACTCTAAACCCTAAAATGAGGGCCTTAATAATTAGCATAGGTTTTGGTGGTATCTTGTACTACAATTACAATAAGAAACCACCCAAAATTGTACAGGTAATCTGTACTTAGTTAGGCCCCTATAGTAATGACCTTATTAGGGGACCACCTTAAACTCTGATCCCCTAAACCCAAAACCCTATACGCTAAACCTTAATCCCCTGATCCCCAAAACTCCCAAAGGGTCCAATGTACCGATATAGTAGAATGTAGGGTTTCAATATTAGGTATTACTATTATGCCTTAAAAAAGTATCCCCTATAACAGTACATAGGATTTTTTGGGAGTGTCAGGAACATTCACTCCTCCGACTCGGAGCTCCCCTAAACCCTAAACCCGTAAGGCCCTCGCGGGCCAGTAGATCCTCATGCCCTCTTTCACGCTGCCGGCGATGAACTGAGGCTTCCTCTTTGAAGGTGTTTGTATATACTCTTATTTGTGTTTTAAACTTTCTTTTCCGTCGCCCAAAGGTTAGTTGGAATGCCAAGTCTGGCGGAGGGTCGGTTTTTGTCCTCAGGTTTCAGGGTTTCCGCTCTTTTTTGGGTTTCTTTCTCTTTAAGAAGGGCGCTTGAAGAGATCTTCACTATACTCCTCTTAGAAACATAATGCAACTCCTAAGGAGACTGTAGTAGTTAAAGGGTTCAAATACCATTAGAAGGGTACTTCAGGAGCCTTAATAAGTAGAATGCGGCTTGGGGGTAAAGAATATGGAGCACCCAAAACAGCATGGTACATAAGGGTACTTGAAGGGGCTTTAAAGGGTTCAAGTACTGTTATAGTAGGTACTTAATCGCTGTTTGGGCCACAACAGTATACATACTAGGCTTTACTTGGACCCTTCGGGCTATCAATGGTGATACTAGCTATAAGTGTTTTTTGGCACTCGCACTCCAACAAAGTCAGGCGAGGTTTGTGAAAGCAGCAGACCACTAGAGGCAACAAGAGACATTGATCTTTTCAACACCACTATAAGCATTACTGTCAACGGCTACTATGTACTATTTGGGTTGTTTTTCGCAGAAGGGCGCAAAGGATCCGATGGCTCAGGATGATTCAGCAAAGTGGGAGGGGTGTCAGGATTTCGGT